GAAAATGAAGCTAAATTTTCTTGCTCCACTAGAAATAGAATACTATTTCAGAACAAATGTACAGTTTACAGAGGTTTTCAGACCCTAATGTCATTTCTCACAGGCAATCAATCTGGCAGACAAACTAAGAAACAGACAGACAAATATGAGTACCACCAAGTTATCCTTGAAAAGTTTGGATTCTAGGGAACACCCAATGAGGTCTGAACTTTCACAGGGAGCACATAAATCCCACAAGAGAAGCAATTTCCTCCTTTCTGTCTTAATCAATGGGTAATATTAAAAGCATTTTTGCTGGAAATTCCAGGCTCCAGGTCTAGAAAATTAATCAGTAAAACCTAGCAGAGAGACTGGTATCACAGGCAGCTAGGGGAAAGCACATGAAGACCACAGACATCTGTCATTACTGGAAGTTTTCCTGCCATGACAAAGCAGTGTCTGTCTGGAGGAGACATGTCATGCCATATGTTTTTGGCCCTGGACCAAATATGCTTTATTTGATAGATACAAGAGGTCAGACGTCATCCTCTGAGCTACTAGTTGGGTGTAACAGTACAGAATCTAGCAGACATGCCAGGATTTAGGCTGAAACACCTATAAAGCAAAACCCATGGGTTCTTCAGATGAAAGTCAGATAAAAATGCCAGTGTGCATGTCAGCACAGAAATCTAGTAACAAGCCACATAAGCACAGAAATTGATTGCAGCATATTAACCTTTTACTGCTTTGAAGAAGTCAGTGTCATGGTTGCATTGTCACTTGAGAAGCAGAATCCTAGAAAGACACTCTGTCTGGAAGAGGATGAAATGTGTGGTTTGCCATCTCCCATATGCATATGCTTGAAATTAAAACAGATCACTAAAAATAACTTACTAATTACAGTGTAATCACTTAAAAATACATGAGACACATTTTCTCAAATGTTAATCACTAGTAAGGCAGCCTGTAGTACAGCTCAAGGGGATAAATCTCATGCTTACAAATGCATCACCAGGGACCTCTGGATTCAAGCTGCTGGATAGGTTTACCAGCTTCTTAGAACACTAGTACTTTGCTGCTGTTTAGTATTAAAGAAGGTCCCTGTAACACACTTGCTGTACAAAGTTAATGTGCATAGAAATTTATATCTAGAGGATCTAGTCCTGGAAAAAGTGGTGCAGGTGGGTATTAGTTGGGAGTACCAACTTGAGGGAACAGCTGTACCATGAAATGACAGAAGTGGTTCACCAGGGTATCTGGGGCTGTGTCACAAAAAGTGTGTCACAGAAGTTATACTAGGCAGCATGCTCTCCCTCTGACTGGGAGCTGGATGGACTATCACTGTCTCCTGGCTTATCTGGTTAGGTGTCTTATCTTATATATTATAAAGCAGGGAACAGAGATATGAAAAGCAAAACCTGCTGCTCTTGGGTTTTGCCCTCAAACAGAACAGGATCTGAAATCAACAGCACCTGAAGTGCCTGCGATAGTATGGGCCTAGCGGGAAAGGAAGAGACCGGAAAGGTTTCTGAAATCCAGTGTAACACAGTTACTCTGCATCTTAGTCTCCCACCCAGCAGCACACTGCCGAACTGACTGAAGACTTCAAATACACAGTACAACCATCATCTTGCTAATTGCTTACCTCACCTCCCAAGCTTCATACACTTCTGCATCCGCTGCCATAAAACCTTCAGTTGCCTTCAACAACATTTTCCCTTTCACTATAACCCTGGAAAGTTCCTGGGAATATCTCCCCAACGCTGCTATGCTAGTTACTGGGTGAAATCCAGAGGCACCATCTGCCATGGCCCACTGACATCTGTACAGCCGACAATTTTCCTCATGTCAAAGGCCCCACACTACACAGCTCCTCTCTGTGCCTCCTGTGTGTTCCAGACACCCCATCGAGTAGGAACACACTGCCTGCTTGGAGTGAGCAACACCACCACAAACCAAATGGATTCTGGTGAATGCTGAAGACTAAGAAGCCAAAGGCTGAAACACAGCATCCTGGTTATTTGTGAGAATGGCAGTTTGTCCCCATTCATCAGCTCCAGAACTGCCATGCTATCCTAAACTTATTTATAAGATAAAACACAGACTTCTACTAGACTAGAATTTAAACAGAGTGATTCAATCAGTTCATGAACAATCGCCTGCCACATACCCAGCTGGTGACTCAGGCTCTGGAAGTAATATTTCATTCTTACAGACAGGCCAAGCAGGGGGCTTCTCACAATTCCCTATAGACATAGGTGTTTCACATCCTGATGGCTTTTTTTTGCTTGTTTTGGTTTTTGTTTTTTCCTCCCCAGCAAATTCTCCAAGGAATACGTTATGAAATCCTACATAAACCCCCCCAGTTTGCATTTAACCATAGGTTAAACTGATGCATTGTGACACTGCCATGGAGAGGCCATTATCCTCTAGTAATCATCTGTCATTCTTAATCATATGCTGGCAAGTTAAAAATCTAATATGTTGTGACAAAACTGTGCAAGTGGATAACTGCAGAGTTAGCAGCTCATCAGCTTGGGACAACACACTGGCCAGGATGCTGAGCTCCAGAAAGCCACACTGGATTTTCACCATGAGGAAGGTTATTTGCAAGTTAAAAAGTGAGTAAAGCTGGATTTTCGAATACCCTTCAGATGGAAAGGTAGCCAAACCATCCAATTAAGCCATGAGGAAGCCACTCCTACTTTCAGGAGTTTCACTTTTTTGCTACTTATTACAAGAATGGTAACCATCATTAATAATCTTACTAGCAAATATTTTTGAGTGTGCCGGAAGATCTGAATGGAGGCATTTAAGAAAACACTTAACTTACCTCTGGAATAGCTCTAGGAAGTATTTTGTCTTGTATTTAAACATCGAAGCAATTGTTCTTCATTCCTGGAAAACCTGGGAATCTATAGATTTTTGTAGCAAAAACCCATTGAACTGCAGTTACACGGAACCTTTTCTTCAACCAGAGACTAGTATGACTACCAGCCCCAACCTATTATAATAATGAAAAATTAATAATTAATTAAAAGATCCTATTTTCCATTATCTCTTTAACCTCAAACATAATGTAAAAATATATCTGAAATTTACTTGCTCCTGAGGCGAGTCTAGAACAGTTGAACAAGCAACAGTTAGAAAAATGACAGAGTAGGTGAAATATCTTTCTTATAGAAAGATACCATTAACTCTCTAGGGTTAGAAGAAGGAAACTGAAAATTCACATTTTCAGTTCATTTCAACATTTCAACAGTGAGTATTGAAGCAAGAAAACATGATAGACACAGGAAGAATATCCTCAGGTGGCTAATGCTAAATATATCATCAGAAGTTGACATTCCTAGCCAGACTGCAATTAAAATAAGGAACTCAACACCATGGATCATTTTAGAGGCCAAAGATTTAGCAAGATTCAATGAGAAAGCAAACAGATACAGGAATAGAGAACTCTGGAGTGCCAGCACACAGAGACTACCCAAGCATTAGCAGCTCAGCTGGCTGTTGAAGGCCAAACCAGATGTGAAGAAAACTTGAGGGAACTTCAACAGAGGCTCATCCTCAAACAGCTCTGTTGGTGGTTCTCAGCGAAGGCAACCCTTTTTCTCTGCTCTTAAAGGATGCTTTTAAGCTGGGGCTCTCACCATGGTCCTTGCCTGAGCTGGCAAGCTTGCTTTTAAGCTTGGCTCTCACCAAGGTCCTTGCCTTGTGCCACAGCCAGGCAACCCCATTGATTCAGGTCTTGTCTAACCTCTGAGGGTGGCTGTGGGCCTGCCTCACCCCTGTGCACTTGGCTGGCAATCACTGATGCTGGTCATATGCCCAAACCTGATTATGATCAATGGTCCTGGCTCAGTTTCCCAGCTTGACTTCAGACCTGCTCTTCTCATTGCAGATTTGCTTGGTGTTCTGGTCCCTGGGCTGAATCCAGTTACCCTCACTGGCACTGTCTGCCTCACTTGGGGTACAGTGGGACTGGTCCATGGCTGGAAAATCCATGGCTTCCTTCCCTGAGGGAACAGCTTTGCCCTTGCTGTACTTTGGCATTGAGCTACAGCAGTTGAAGTCAGGAGCAAGCATTAGCTGAGAAACAAAACATCATGCTAGAGGTTTTTAAAAATTCCTCATTTCTAGGGACTGGAATGCTGAAATTGTGAAAAGTTTGAAGTTTTGTAAACTGTCACAGCTACATCACTGATGTGGATCTGCTGAAGCTTCCCCTAGTTTAGTGCTACCTAATCCCAGATGATACCTGAATTCTTCAGTCTAAAAACTAAGTCCACACTAATATTGTTTCTCTGTGCTACAGACTACTCAGAAGCTCACACATCAACACTAGAAGTTCTGCTGAGGTATATTTTCCTTGACATCTTTGTCATTGCTAATTGATTTGCAGAAAATTATCTGACTAGTGTTTAGTACATTAATAATCATTATAATGATTGAAGAGGAACAGTGTTAATTCAAATTAAAAAAACCCACCTAATTCAATGCATACAGTCCAATTCCACATGCAGTCTCCAGAACTCATCACCAACAATCTCCTGCTGTAACTCCAAATGCCACCCTTTGGATCCCAGTAATATTCTCCTTAAAAAGCACCCTATCAACCAGAAATACAGTACCGGGACATTTTTGAGCATAGGGATAAATTCTACCCCTTTTTAGTCTTGTCCTTGTTCTGTTTTCACTGTTAGAAGTCTGAAGTATGGGATAACTGAACTATGCTTACTTGAAAAAGGTAAACAAGAATTTACAACCAGCAGAAGGACTGAGCCAAAACAAAAAATGCCCTATGTTCTTCAAGAGTTCTCGTGTATTTGTTTTGATGCATCCTACTGCTTCCTGAATACAAAGTCCCAGCAGCAGTTTTTTCCCCCATGATGCTGCATCTTGGAAGAGAGGTACCATCACTAGATATGAGTTAGCTAAAACCCAGAACACAACAAAAGAATGTATTTGAGACACCACATATCACTTCCTTCTACAGACATGACATTATTTTTTATAGAAAATAAAAACCAACCATTTTTATTGACTGTACTATAGATACCTGTACAGAGTGTAAACTTTAATATTTCACCAGATATGTGAATACTTCTGGAGAAAGAATTATCAAGCACCTTCATTTCAACAAATTTTTGATATTTACAGTAAGACATACCTGATTAAGTGTATGAATAGAATGAATTAAAAGTTATAAAAAGTTATACAAAAAGATCTTTAAAATGTTTATATGTTTTGGTTTTTTTTATGATAAATATAAAATGAAAGAAGAAGATGTCACAGAGTTAAGACTCAAAATTGGCTCTATTTAAAACTACGACTGCTGTGTCTGAAGGGGAATGAGGAAATGGGGATGTTAGCTTACTGCTCTGATCATGACACAGTGAAATGTGCTCTGCCAGGAGCCTCACAAACCCTCTTTTGCTCTGCCACACATTGGTTTGTAGGCAAGCTTCTTTCCCAACACACAGTGGGGAAACCAAACCACTCCTAGATTTGTACTGCTAATCTGACATATAAGTATGCATTTAGATTTTTCCTCTCCAAACTTACAGGAGATGATGAAAACATCAACTTCACTTTGATTTTCATGACACCGTTTTTGCTCTCACTGGCACATAAATGGGGCACGACTATATTTTTTGCTCTTAAGCACCAAACCAGAGGTGAGCTTTCTGAAGATCAGATTTTAACTGCCATGGTTTCTTATGGTCTACAAAAAGGCATGGCATGGTTTGCTAAAAGAAGAACGATTGCTAAGATAAAATTCTGAGTCCACTTTGAGGTTTATAGAATCAAATGTAGAAATACTATTTTAAAACCTCTCAGAAAACAAATGTGACTATCTCTTTAAAACCACTTGTCTCCCAATGAATCAACATCCATTCTTTGAGGACCTACCAGCAATTGTTCAAAATATCTGAATTTTGTTTAGTGGATTTTAGGGAACTACTCAGGAATCCACCTCAAACAGAAGAAAGATAAATCTCTTAAAACCTAACAAAAACTTCAAATATATAAACAGTGCTGATTATCTTTAACAAATCATGTGCTGTAGGAAAGGATCACATGAGCCGGAGTGAGAATTATAATCCTTACAACACATGGATAAAGTACTTCCATAGTACAGAAGTCAAAAGCTGAGATGCAAGTTTTTGAAGTGAAAGGACTGGTAGCGAGAAGGAATGTGGTTGGGCAGTAAATATGTGCTATTAACTGGGTATTCCCCCTTATCTTTTCATCCTTGGAACCCCCTGACTTTTTCTCTGGAACCCCCTGACTTTTTCTCAGCTAGAGATAAAGCCCAAACACATACATGATGGGCTAAGCATACCACTTCTGCAGAAAACTGCTGCACACTCCAAGGTAAAATTCAGTCTCAGGATCTGAGTATTTCCACTCTCTTTACTCTGTCCTGTGTTATGTTACTTCAATTTTGCCAAGAGACACATCCTTCTTGTCTGGGACAGATGCAACTAAGGCCTCCACATTTACCTTTAAAAGAAAAGAGATAATTTTACAAGGAATAAGGTGAAGTTGGACCCAACCTGGGCAGCCCTGTCTTATTTATCTGTTGCACAAACAGCCTCTGCCTCTGTCTGTGTGTGTGGGGGGTGTGTGTGTGTCTGCATACGTGCATTGTGGCTTGCTGTCGGCAGCATGGAGCACTTATCTTTAGGGCCTGATAGTGTTGATAGGAGTGAATTGTTTACAGCACATTTCCAAAAGGTGTCTGCAGCTCTAAAGCTTATTTTAATGCTCAGTTTCTTTCTATACAATCTACTCCAACTGTGTTGTCAGGGCAGCGGCAAGTACGGCCTCCTGGGGTAGCCAAGCAGAGGTGAGTGCAACCACCGTTATTCACTGTACAGTAGTTATGTCCTGGAAAAAAAAACCAACAGAGATGCAAAACTTTAGAGAAAAACAAATGCAAACCCACAACAAAATCTCAAACAGACAAGTAAAAGAGATGTTGAGATTGATGGCTACACTAGGGAAACAAGCCATAATGAGATTAGGAGTGGAAGAATACTATGCTTTAGGGAGATAAGTCACTGTATCCCTTGTGTCAACTTGACATTCACATGAAAGAAAGATAAAGATACCAGAGTGAAAGAGGCAACATAAATCAAGTGGGTTGTTCCTGAAATACCCTTCATAAACTGGCCACATGGTCACAGATATAAGAATGAAGAGAAGGGAGTGAGTAAATAGTGAAGCGCAATGTGGGGACAAAGTTCAAAATGCCACAGAACATCATCCTCAGATACCAACCATATAAAGACAAAGGAATGCTCCATGAAAACAAACAAACACAAATTGGGTGGCTGGGGAATCGTTAACATTAAAGAGTAAAATGAAGGAGAACTCAGCGTCAGAAGCAGTGGATCAGAGAGGAAAGGCATCCATCAAGAAAACCACTTGAAACAGACTTGAGTAAGACTTAGAAAGAAATTACACCAAGATCCTGAATATTACGAATATAAGCATATACTCAGAGCACACAGTGTTGTTTAATTTTACACTGCCTATCAAAATGGATCTGTGAATTAACTAGTAATAACAATATAACTGATTTCTTAATTGTGACATTTGTATATATTTTTAAGCTCTGAGACAAAACTTCAACTAAATCGTTTTTCATTTCATATATTGAGTAATTTGAAGAGAAACTATCCTAAGGGGTCTTTTAGTCCCAAAGTAAAAATAGCACAACTCCTTTAATTCCAGCCATATTGTAATAAAAAACAGTGAATGCTTCTCCTGTGATTTGCTAAGAATGACATAACTACACAATTATATTGATTCACAAAAACCAAATTATATTTCAGGGGTATCAGATTTCTCTCCTATTTTCAATTGCATATCTGAAAAACTTAACATTCAACAGAGCAGAAGGGCCAGCTCAGTGCAGCCACTCTACCACCTGCTGTTTCCTGAACATTCCATTTTGAAAAACACTGGATCTCATTAAGGACATCTGGAAGAACATACTATTTCTGTAGTTTAAACTTAATAAGTGAATTAGGCTCTAGCCATGAATATAGCATTCAATTCAGAGGACAATACATTGGCATTTTTGACAACTCCTCTTAATCATATATGTTCTTCCACAAAGGATAAAACAGGACCCTTCTTCCCCTCCAGTTCTAGTTTCATGTGGCAACTACAACAATGGCTTTTATGGGAAAGAAATAATGTGGCTTTTAATTTCTTACTGAACAGAAACCTAAACACTAACCCAAATCTTCATTGCCCAAATCATTTAACAGCTTACAAATGGGAGCTGCTACTAAGTTCATTTATACAGTAAGGTGTTACACAGCTGTAAAAACTCCAGAATCATCTGGATTACCTCCTGGGCACTGAGCAAAGGCTGTGGTGATTCCGTAGAGTCGTGAGCGCTTGTGAGGCTGGAAGTTATCATTTTCTAATGAAATTGTGCGATCCACTGCGACAACAGCATCCCTGCCAAATGCAGAAGGAAATATACAGAAGTGAGATGAAGGTGAAAGCACAGGGGAAAACAAGACAACACAACAAAAAGCCCCCCCAAAACCCAACAAAAGCTGCAACCAACCAGTCAATAAACTAAAACAAAACCAAAAGAATAGCTACTGCTGCTGCAATTGATAGAGGCATTTAGGTAAGAGTTTGCTGATAGAGCCCATAAAACCATTTACATCAACTAAAAATATTTGTTTTAAAATGCAGGGACTGGATTTTTTTCTCCAGAAGTTAAAGTAAACCTCTAAGTGTTGATCATATGGCAACATTTTAGAGTACTTGCAATAAAGAGAGTGTCATCAAGATAGTGAACACTTTTTTTTCCCCCCTTATTTTTGATTGAACATTCATATAATATAGGGCATAGAAAGCCAAGAGTGATGAATGTCTGCCCTCTACAATGCAGCTGCTATAGAGAAACAAGTTACTGCCCACTCCTTTCCCAAGAATGTTCAGTGTTAAAAGCATTTTCTTCTAGGACAAATCACTATGCTAAAAAGTGAAAACTCAGTTAACTGGCAGCATCAATAGGTCAACTCTACATATCCACTCCACCCTGCATCAGCTATTGCCAAGAAAGCAACAAAACAGGAATGTGTGAGAGGTCAGGCATGAGAAATGCAATATATACTTCAGTTTCTACCAGGGAGAAAAAAATGATAAAAGTACTCCATAATTTCTTTAGCAGATAAGATACCTTCTCCAGTCTGTATAGTACAAATTCTTCCCATAGCTTGTGACACCAAAAGGATACTGAATCCCTTCAACAATCTTTCGTCGACCATGCTGATTAGGGTTCATGCATTCCAGCCTCTTGGTACCTGGATGTAGTGAAACAATTAAGCCTTTGAATCAGAACAAGAGAGCTCTCATCAGGGATGAAAGGCACAAAAACACAAGCATGTAGAGGGTGGAAGGTCCTGGAAATCTTTCAGTGTGCTGCTTAGTCAAAGCCTTCCTCCATGTCACATGTGTGCACGTGCCAAAAATCAAATGGATAAATACTCCGGTGTTAATGCTACTCAGCACAACACTGAAGTTAAAGAAACACAGATGTCCCAAGCAGCCATGGCCAATGCTCACAAGCTGAGATTCCTGCTATGGATTCCAGAATCCTCGGGTTGGTGTGGAACCTGACAGAAGGCCTCCTCCATTCTGGAGGGGTACTTCAGCTGTTAACTGGTTCCACCTCTGGAAGACATTTTTGCAAAGTTTGCTTGGTGAGCATGTTTCTGAAGTGTTTGCTGGGTTGGGCCATGAAGGTGAGACTGCGGGAAGAAAATCTAACTCCTAGATGCCAATAGGGTGCAAAAAGGTCTAGCTGCAAAGCCACTGCAGGCTGGGAACACTGCTAATAAATGGAAACACCTGCAGGTTTTTCCTAAGTAATGTGTTTCAGAATTAGACAAAAAAAGAGAAGATGCAAATGTGAGAACAAGAAAGGAAAAGAGAGAAAGTAACTAGAGATAGCAGAAGGAGATACATTTGAAGGTTGGAGAAAGTGTTTTACAGTGAAAAAGAGAGCATTTTAGTTTATTCAGTAAAATAAATATCCAGTCAAAAAAATTTGAAAGGTGACTTGAAGTGTGAAAGCACTTCCACAGGAAGACATCCCTGCAAAGACTCTACATGGTGAAAGACAGCAAGATGCCAAAAGATAAAAAGTAAATGAGAATTAAAAGTACACTTCTTCTCCACCCACTGCTAAGACACTGTCACAAAACTAACAATGGGTTTGTGGCAGAACTTTAATCCCTTGATCTTTTGGGTGCATTGCTTTTTCAAGACTTGCTTCAGTCGAATATAAACCAGACTTGGCCTCAGGGTACAGGCCTTAAAACAATAGTGTCAGGATGGCATTCTGTAAGGCAGATTAGAAAAATCTGTGGTTTTCCCCTAGTCTTAGACTAACAACTTCTACAAAGTCCTAGGCACTACCTAAGAATATAGCCACATATAAGACACACAGACATAGATCTGTTGCATTCCTAGAAAGTTTTGTGGTCAGAATTGAAATCTTTCAGCTTGCATAGTCCCATGTGAATAGCGATGAATAAATCATTAAAGCCAAAAGCTATGGCTGTGCATAATTCCAGGACTGGACATGTTTACACTGCTACTATTATGAAGATATATTTTAGCCCCCCTTTACCTGCATCTACCCAGCACAGCATTGAGGAATAAGGATCAAATGTCAGTCCATTTGGTAACCCAAGATCATCTTTAACAAGAATTCTTCTGTTTGTGCCATCCATGTATGAAGTTTCAATTTTAGGAGCTTCTCTGTTCCAGTCAGTCCAGTACAAGTTTCTTAGGAAGAAGAAAAAGGCTAGAGTTAAGACAAGGACTAATCTCAAAAATTGGTGTAGTTAAGAAAATGCTAAGAACACAAAAGTAACACAGAGCCCCTAAATCATTTAAATAAATAAGAAGGGCCATATTGCACTTCGATATAGAAGTCAAAAAGGTGTAGTAAAAATGTAGCAAATATGCTTTCATTAAAAACAAAAGGAGCAAGCACAGAACAGACATAAGAAGAAATGCTTTGCTCCCATTGTTTAGCTTATGATCAAAATGCCAGCCAAAAAGACCCATACTGCAACGGTTCTGAGGGCCATTCAAAATGTACATCTACATTTTGAGTTCTTCTGTCTCACTTCCTATCATGTCTGCTCAGGCTAAAGCAAGAGTATTTGGCATACATTTGGGACCCATTTGAAACAATATTTTTCTTTTCAGTGTACCAAATAAGTAACACACAATGGAATCAGAGTAGTTAATCCTCAGCAGAGATCCCCAGAGAGGACCATTAACTCTGACATTTTACTATTAATAGCCAGTTTTCAGTGGTAGGGTTTTTTTCCTTGGATGTACATTCTGTGCCTGTGAATATGCATGGCCCCTCAATGGCACCTTTGTTGCTTACTCCCTAACACACACACGATTTACTATAAGAAGGAAGTCCATGATGCTTGACCTGAACCCAGAACCCTACTCCATCAGTGGGGTTCCGCATGGAACACAGGTGTCTCCTCAGTCCATTAAATAATCAGATAAATAAAATCAAGCTTTGCACAGGTTTCTTGACAACACATCCATACCCTCTCACAGGATCCACAACAATTGCTCTGGGGTTCACCAAGCCAGTGTCAAAAAGGATGCGACGCTGGCGCCCGTCCAGCCTGGCCACTTCTATTCTATCCAGCTGAGAGTCAGTCCAGAAGATGTTGCGACCTAGATGATCTACAGCTATCCCTTCAGGGCTTCCCAAGTCTGTGGGAGAACAGAGGAAAACATTACTAGGTATTATACTTATTCCCAATACACTGTGTCAGCCTCATAAGGATAACCTTTAACAGAGATAAGTTTTCTTCAGTGTTCTGGCTGTGGTCCAGCAAAAGCTACTTTTGCTTTTTACTTACCACTTGGAAGAGTAACATGCATTTTACCTTAAAGTTTAAATACTCAGAACTCTCATAAAGACCTAAAATGAAAAGTTCCATATGAAACAAACTTGCTGCACACAGAAACTGTACTTGAAGAGGCAAACACAGAAAGAGTTGATAACAGAGAAAGGAACAGCAGGTAGTGTCAAAATCTTATTCTACCATCCTTAGAAGGCCATCGAATGGATTTTATAACCCTTAATATTTCTCCTTCTTTAGTACTGGCATACATGGCACATCTCTGAAAACTGAATTTGTGCTAAGTTTACCTGATGCAACAATTAAGCAAATTCAAACTCTAAACACTCGACACAATGACATTAAGTAACTGATGCAATCTAGATCCAGTTCTTTGTTTTTGCAGAGATATTCTTTTTGGAACACATTTTAGCACTGTATGCACACAGCTTTTCTTGGACAGTTAGTTGTTCCAAAAGCAACAGGAAATAGCAGATAATGACCTTACTGCTCTAGCATTAGTAATTTCTAACTTGGATGCAGGATGTAGAAAAAATTTATAAAGTTTAATTCAGCCACTATGAGAAACTGCTCTGTTTTTTTCAAGGTTCCATTGAAAAAAAGCAGGCAGGCCATGTGGAATTTAAGGAACTCAAAGACAAGTAAAAAATAAATAAATTATTTTGGTTCAATTTCAGTTCCAAAAGAAAAGAATTGTACATGGTTACTCCTCAAAGGAGGGGAAATGACCCTTTACACCAGCCAGCTGTTGAAAAAAAAACACCTTTCAAATACTGATCCACTCATCGAATAGAATGTGGCCTGCTAGCCTTAATTCTGAAGTTTATTCACTGACAGCCATTAAACAAACATTATGTGACACAAGCAACCTTTCTGGAGAAAACGCATTTGGCACAGAACTTTGGGTAGGGCTCTCTAGACTTTGCTACTGTGGTGTTGCTGTGAATCACAGTTGCACAATAGTTCAGACATCCTCTGCTCTCCCACTCATATGGATTACACTTACCACTTCATCTGCACACATGACATTTTAGGTTTATATGAATTGTTGAAGAGGTGGAAAGGAACAAGCAAGAAGCGTCTTATTGTTTCTGACTCACAGATCATGGCCAGAGGGAAGGGGTGGTGGGCAAGAAAGTAAATGTTAAGTAAATGTCAAGCATTTCTTTACTCCTTCTGAGGGCTTTTGGGCACACTTTGACTCAGTTATACTGACTTCACATTACTCCTTTATTTCTCTAAATGCTTCTGTGGAGTTAGACCCGTCAGCTGTAAGAAACCACCTCACATTTACTTCAGACCCTCAAATGTTCCTACTTCTTTCCTTGCTAATGGCAGAGTCTACTGAGGGTGGCCACATTTTGAGGTGATGGTGGCAGCAGTCCCCAGTCTCTGGGATCAGAAGGTTACCGACTAAATGTTCTGGAGGAGCTCCCAGACTCTTTTAGGAAACAGAAGACAGCAGCAGGCAAAAGATTTGCTGTCACTGATCCTCAGGAGTTCCTGCTCCCTGACTAGTTTCCTTGTTTCAATTTCCTTATGTCAGCTGTATGTTAGGAGATTTATAGAAGTCTAAAAAGTAAATGTTCCTTCTGTGTGGTTGAGCCAGAAAAAACTATCCCCCATGGGGGGAGGGGTAAGGGAATATTTAAAGGCTTCATTTATCACCAGTCTTTCCAGAGGCACAAATGTGTTCCTGCTATATTGTCATCAAGCCTGGTACAGTCACAGGCTCTGTCCCTGAGAGCAGGTTTGTACAGACACGCACAGCTGATGGGACTTCAAGCAATTACAGCAGAGGAAAGCTCTCTTTCCTAACCAGCTGCAGAGCTGAGAAAGCCTCCACAGCCTATACAGCTGCAGGGATAAAGGAGATCTGGATGGGGCTCCACAATTAAATAGTGTTTCTGCAAAGCAGCACAACTCAGATCACAAGAGCTTTAAAAAAAACCCAACCAAAAATGTAGTACATTCCACAAAAATATGCATGAACTGAAGAAAGCAGCTGGAGCTCACAGGAGGAGGAAGGCAAAGATCAAAACAAAACAAAAAAAATCTCATGTGTCTTCTGAAGGGGAGGCATTTTCCTATTTCATGAAATTTGAAAGTTTCAGTTTTGGCCTGCATAGACGATATCAATTTGAATGCTGAATATTAAATATTATTTTGATCTGAATCCTTATTGAAATGCCCATTAATGTACAAAAAGTAAAGTGCAACATCTCTCCCAGTCTCTTCAGGAAAAGCATTCACATCCTATGCAACCAGCAGAACAACAGAATTTGTGAGAAAGCTTCATACATACAATATTTTATATAGCAGATAAAACTGGTGAAGTTTCCATGTGGCATTGAAGCATTTTGAATTACCTTAAATAATCAATCAAATTTAACTGAAAGCCTTCACAAATAATTTTCCAACATTTTATACACTGCAAGAATTTAAATGCCTATGAATACTCTCATTAAACAGACATATAGTTTTTTATATAAAGCATAGATAAAATATTTCTATATGTTTTATTTTATATCCATATAAAATTATATATATTATAAAGCAATAGTAATTTCCTCCATCTTTAGAAGTGCAGATTCTGAAAAAAAATCATTTATAGTGCTAAGCAAAAATCTTTTCCCTGCAGTTTCTAAGCTGCACAGGCAAGCACAGGATTGCAGTGCAGGTTAGAGTTGCTTTTATATTAAATATGTTGGGATAGAGAAAGAAGTCTTACAAAATACCTCAGACATTAAGTGGTATAGAAATATGAAGCTCCATAACTGCTGTAATGGTTAGGGATGTCCTTAAGCTCTCCCTTTTTCCTTCCTAGGACAATGGTAGGATCCAAGCCACCCCCACATATATGCTGTCCCTAAGAGCCTGGATGGAGTCTTACAAACTGACTGTTCCAAAGCACAAAATCCAGGCAGCAATTCTCTACACATCCAAAGAAAACAAAACCAAATTTATTGTAGAGTTTTATAACTGGCTGATCATTTTTCTAAAATAATTTCTTAAGTTTTTGTAACAATGACTGCAAAGGATTCAAAGCAAAGATGACCTCTTCCAGTATCTTGACTTCACAGGTGTTCTAGGATCTTGAGGACACTGGTATTTAAAATGTGCCTCCAGCTACTTTTGCTGTTGCTTTTTTTTAATGACACCTTCCCCAACCATTCACTTTGTTCTCTAAACCTGTCCTTCCCCTTAGCCCTTTCCACTCAATAAAACAGTTTATCATCCAAGATGCACGGGCTTGTACTTAACCTTTCTAATGAAAATTAACATGGACTGCAGTGAGCAGCAGTCTTAATGGAAAGAATGTAAGAACAAGATACAAACTGGATGAGCACAAACTCCACAATACCCTCTAGTCTAATTCTCAAATCCTTGAACAACTATGAAGGGTAAAAACCAAACAAGGTGGCTTTACTCAGTTTCCATGTTACAACTGCCAACTTGAGTAGCAGGTATGGGAAAATCACAGCTGAAATAGTTTCTAAAAGCATTTCAGCTGTTTGATCCCCAAGCCAAGCAGTTCTCTTCAGCCTCCATGCTCACCAGTCCTTTCAGCTGACAGGCAGAGTTCATGAGAGAAAAAAACACTACATTTAACAAAATCTCCTCTATCCAGCACCTACCTGCCTTGCCAGATACAAAAATCAAAGACACCCTCTGATGGTATTCCATGTTAATGTATAAACACAACTCTTAGTCAGCTCAGGCAACACCTAGGAAGTACATATTACCAAATTCAAGTCTAATACCAACCCTAGGGAATAGCAAGAGAAAGAATTTTGGGCTGTTACCTGTTCTGATTATGGCTGTTGGCTCCCCACCATGCAGGCTGGCCCTGCTGATCGAAGGGCCGCTGATGTCTGTCCAATAAACCATCTTGTCCACGCAGTCATAAGCAACTCCAATAACAACTCTGTCCTGTTGGACAACAGGCAAGTTAGATCAGCTTAGGCTGAACAAAAGTTACTCATCAGCAGCATTAAATGATACTTTTAAGTCTCAAGCCAGTGGAAAAAAAAAATCCTTGAGGAAAGGTGGGAAATGGGGAGGAGAGGCCAAGAAAATCATCGGGCAACAGTCATTGTCAAATATCTTAGGAAAATACTTCCTGTTAAAAGTCCCTTTAAACTAGCAGACATCATTCACCATTATTTCAAAGAAGCATTGGAGACACTAGTACTGAACAGTCTGACTTGTACAGCTTCACCTGCATAGCCATCTAAAGAAAGTCCATGTTGACATTTTACTGTGTCCCTCCTTCATGTACCTTTTTCCTCCCATTCTTTCCCTATAAGGTGGAATAATGACTTCTACCAAATCTGACTTGCACTAACCAAGTCATGCATTATGGCTGCACTTCCTACATAGCACCATTTGACTCTAGAAAGTTCTAGCAAAGTAAGGTTTTAAAATAAAAGTTAGCTTAAACTACATAAATCATTGCAGTGGAAGGAGTATTCTCAGCTACAAGAAACATTTATATGTAATTTTTCAGGCAGAAAGAAGATAGTACTAGAGTTTGAGTTTAGAGTTCAAAGTCCCTCCTCCAGACAAATCAAAGAGAATGTCACAGTAAAGCAGCAGCTGCAGATGGATTCCTAAGTCTGTCACTGTTGCTGCTTTTGCAACACAGCTTCTTAGAAAGATGTTACAAACCTGTGAATTAAAACAGATGCACTTATTCATCGTCCTGTGGGTTGCAAAACAATCTAAACACATCTGGTACCATTGCAAATGCACAACACAGACAACACAAAGTCAACAATGCTAGCAGAGACTGAAAGTTTCCTTTTAATTGAAAGTTCCAAGAAAGAATTGCATCTTATCTTTTGGAAGTTCTTTCCTCAAGATACTTCTAACTGCATAATTTAAGTTAGATCAAGTAAATAATGAGACTAGGTGACAAGTATTCAGAATCATGTCACCTTCAACCTTATTACACCATTTTTTATACAGCATTTTACTTTTTTTTATATTATTGCAGCAGAACTTTACATAAGGGACAAAACCTTGATTTTGCCCTTACATCACAGAAATTTATTTGAAGTGAATCTGTGTAATTTAGCCAGTATTTGATTTGATTATACTCAGTATAATAGGTATGTACATATATATATAAAAAGAGAGATCAGCATGCTACTTGATATTGCCATCCATTAGAAATAAAGTAACACTGGAATGAAAACAGAATTCCTAGGCCTTGGACAAAACGAATGTGATGAAACTGCCAGTGAAAAGGCCTGGTATGTGACACAGGTGGTAGAAAAGAGAGGTTCTCAGCATCAGGAATTAATTTTCTAGGAAAAAAGGATTCTCAAGACAGTAGTAAGAAGCATGGGAAAAAGATCTACCACCCACCGGGCTTACGCATGGGGAAGGAAACAGAAAAAAAGAAGAAAGAAAAATATATGGGCAGCCAAGAAGTAGAGACAACTGACTGAAAAAAACAGGAATAGATTAAGACTTCAGAAAAAACTTTAAGGGAGTAGGAATGGAAAAAAGGGCCTCACCACCTACAGCTATCAGAGGTCTCCTAAACTTTTATACCAGAGTCAGAAAGTCAATAGAAGTGTGAATAGAGAGGAGTTTATATGAAGAGCTGCTGGAGGCATGTGAGATTAGATTTTTGTCTTGTGATTTATTGTGAGCTATTCTTTAAAAGGAAATAATAAATTTTCTATATATTTGGTTTAAAGATTTTTTACTAATCAGGTCAGGAATCTTCACTAACAAATTGATGGGATACCGAGATTTTAATGAAGAGTAAAAATTGTGTTTTCAACTTAAATTGTTGAGGTATGTCAACAAATAGTAGCTTTCATCTCTGATCAAGAATCTTCTAAAAAACATGGACTTAGTATAGTAAACTACTTACTGGAATATGCAAGAGTGCTTTTGCACCATTTTTCTTCATACTGTTTCCCTCTAGTGGAACATGTTCAATTTTACCGCTTTGGGCAAAAAGCAAGTGTGTTCCCGGCGGCAGAGGTACCGTGTCTGGTCGAACAGAGGGCCCGATAACAACAGGAGGAGCGGCTGTGCTCAGACCTTGTTAATAGAGAAGGAAACAGATGGGGGAAAAATTAGCTTGTACAGCACAACAAGGCTCCTTATTACTTGCAGAGACACAATTACAGTCAGACTTCTTAGAAGGAAACAGCCCTATAAGCAGACATTAATAACTATAATCAGATGCAGAAAGCTTCTGAAATTTTCCCCTTGGCTGACAGAGAAGGAGCAATTGACATAATAGGTCTTTTCATGTTTCATGCTCTGTAATTGCTCTTTGCTCTAAATGTTTAGAAAAATCTATCTTTTTTTTGCAGCTGAAGTGACCAAGACGTAGGAAGGAACATCCTTCATTTCCTGAGGCAAGTCAGCTATTACAGCTCCCAGAGGGCAGAGACTATCCGGGCCTCTCACCATTTCAAGGCAAGGAAGAAACTAGAAAATCTTCTTGTTTACCAGCTTACCACAGCTGTCCTGATGGCCTAGCTGAAGGAAAAGTGTATGTTGGGATCACTGAAGGGTATGAGACATACCACCACTGGGACAGCAGAAATCTGCATTGCTCCAAGTCACTGCTATATCTCAGGGAAGGACTAAGCCCCACATTTGGGAGATAATGCACTCAGATGGAGAGATACTCAAAAGAAACAACTGCTTCAGCCACTTACATGGTGGTCGAACTCCTGGACCGCTTCTGGTGCCATCAATCTCATTTCCATCCCTGTCCACACACCAACAATATCCACTGCCAGCATGGCACTGAGTGGGCAAGTAATTCCCATGCTCATCACACTGGGGAATGAAGTGAGCAACTCTTACATCCCTTGGGAAGAAAGCACCTCCACTGCCAAGGGCTACTTCGCGTTCATGCTGGCATTTGGTCTTTTCTACTTCTGGGATAAAAAACAACAGAACAGAACAAACCACAGTGAATATTTCTGATTTAGCTAATAACTACAGTCCATTAACAGTTAACATACGCTGACCACCTATACACAAAAACTCTTACCTCTAGTGAAACATGACACTGTTACAAATCTTGAAGGCATGTGACTTCAGAACAGCTTCAACAAGTCTGTCCTTTGTAAATGTGACACATTTGCCTTAAACTTATTTTATCTTTTACTGCCTAGTTTAAAAAAGAGCAAACAGGTCCCCTGCATCTTCCTTCATTGAAGTGTCATAAACAGAAGCTGGAAATCATGGTTGTTGTCCTTGAAGCAGATGAGCAAGAACATTCTGTATGACTTTTGACCCTGATGTCTACTCATTGGCAGTTATCCATGGGCCTCAAAATGTGACCCTACAGTGGCTGAAGGTTTTTTTGTAACACGAAAAGTCGAGATTCCCTTCAAAGCCACAAGAGAAAACCACAACATGAGTCAGATGCCAAATTCTCAACAGATCTTAGGAAGTGAAGCAACTCATTGCTATGATATATATTAGGTTTTTAAAGTTCAGTTATGAAGTATGAGCATTCATTTGATTGAAGAAATGAATTGGAGGGACAGGCTGGCCACTCCCTGGTGAAGCACAGAGAAACATACCATATGCATTGGCTACACAACATGCATATTTTTATTACTGCAGAGACTACAGAGGAAATAAACTTTTCAGATGTCAGATCAGGACATTCAGGGATCTGGCTCTTTAAGTTTCAATTTTACAAAATAGTCTGAACTAAAATTTACACCTTCTTATTACCTATCATGCAGTAGGGAAAACCATCTGCATCAATATATCTTCTAGAAGCCAAACAACATAATGAAATTAAAAGAATACAATAAAAATAATGTATTTCCTTCTCCAGACAAAGAAATCTGGCTTTTTCTATACACTTGGGATTCCTGAGAGAGAAAGATGTAATTAAGGGAAAGTATCTTTTCCCTGTCAATGATTTCTACAGACATTTAGAAATACTTAGTGCAAACTGTCTGCTGAAGAGTCTTTAACATTACATTTCCATTTTTTCCTTTCCTTGTTTTCACACTGCCTGATGGACAGGATTAGTTCTGTGTGGCTCAGACTAGACTGACCCCAGCTGAGCAAAAAGCTAATCCCATGCATCTCCAGACTGTTGTGTAAATCTATGTTCTGTAAAAAAGAAGCGAGGTTTTTATTAATATTTAAACTAGTTATGCAAGCAAAAGCTTTGGACAAGTTTCATGCACCTGGACATAATTAGAGAAATATAAATGACTGGAGAACAGCTCACTGAACAACTGAAATATTTGGCATTGGTTTTAATGTGGGTGGTGGAGAGCCTTGAATCAACCTACAAAACCAGGCCCTGTGGAAAAGCCTCATTATCTGTCTCAGATTTTGTTTTCATGTATTCAGTGTCCTATGCAATATGCAGGTAAAAGAAATGTTGATTCCAGTAAACAGATGATTTTGACACGGGGTTTTTTATTCTAAACTCTCATTATAGGCACTACTCATAGGAGAAAGCAGGGGGAACACAGAGTATTGATAAACTACCCCCCACGCACATTTTTGTCCAGTGCAGAAAAAATTCATAGTTGCATTCCTATCAGCTTTGAGAAACATTAACTCCTCCTCAGTAGGATATAAAAACAAAAGTAGAAACTGTTCCTTTTCTCCTTCACATTGGAAACTCATAAAAACAGGGTATATTCCAACATGTTACAATTTTTAAATCAATATCTTATATGAATTATGGAAAGGAGGGTGTATACACTCCCAGATAGGAGCCAGTGGTTACACATAAAATATGTTGGTGTTGCTGGTAACTTGAAATATCAATATCTGTTCAAATTTCAAGACAATGTTCACATTAATATCTGCAGATTTTACTCAGGAATTCTGATAGTATTTTTAAAGATAACTTATCTTGCAGTGTTCAAGACCAGTCTCACAAATGTCTGCATATGCACTTAACAGCACTAAAGTCAAGAGACTTGTAAAAAAAAATAATTTCAAAATTAGTACTGAATTTCTAGAAGGCAGAGCATATGATTGGTTCTTCCTAAAAATCCATCAATGCTGAATTTTTACTTGCATAAAAGTATATGCAAATACCCTATTGTCACTCACTTTTAGGAATAATTGTGTATTTTACTACTTCTTTGCTCATGAAAATCACTTATATTAATAATCACTTTATTAATAGTATCAAGTACAATAAGTAATCTATGTTAAACAGACATTCTGAAAAGAAATATAGCCAGGGTTACCAAGTTCATCTGTACTGACTCAGTAATTTCAACCTGTCTTTCAACATTTTGTTTTGCCTCCCTAATATGAATTTAACCAATATTACAATTTATAAACCAGTTATAAGTGACTAAATGAAAGGATAGTTCAACTAAACACTCAGAATCCATTCTCATTTTTCATTCCTTATCTCTGAATCATGGCTAGGATTACTATGCTTAGAGTTGGGAAGCACCTAAAGAAGCATGAGTTGAAAGCCAGTCCAGTGTAGCTTGTGCAACAATGAAGGCACAATGATCTTGGATACAGACGACAGTGGGTTGGAATAAATAGTCTGCTTACACTGCTTATACAAACCTTATACTCAGTAGGGTTAGGAGAAGATGCTCTGATTTTGCAGGTTTAAAACTGCAATAATTAACTCTCTGAAATTAGTCTAGCTACGACAGAGTTTGAAAGATGAGATGGACACAACAAATAAAGCACATTTCCTGCCTTGATAAGCTAACAGCACAAGCTAGACAAAGTGGGTAACAAGAAAGGGCACATTTTCAGATAGCACGAGGGCTACTTTGTAAGCCAGCATCCAGACACAAACCTAAGAGAGAGTAAATTTCCTTCACTACAGCAGCCTAAATGTGTTTTTTAAATGAGCCTGCCTTTAACATAAATACTGTAGTATTTCATCCAGTCAAGACTCTTCAAAGATACAGAGCAATTAGCATTAGGAGAATTCTCTGGTCTCATGGCTGGCACGAAGGAAAAGTCCATTAAATACAACTGGTAGTGCCAAGAGCAAATAACACCTACCTGGTGTAATGGTGCTGTTGCATCTACTACTGCACCTGATTGTAGAAAATGGAAAACAAGCCATGCCTGTTTCAATGCTCCATATACAGGGATAACTAGCCCTGATTTTCAGGAGATTCTTGCCATTCTTGAAACCCACAATCGAAAGGCAAGACAAATGATCATGTCAATGATGATAAAAATGGTATACACCAGGATTAGCTCATTCTGCCAGAGATGAAACAACTAGTAAAAGCAGGACCTTGGTAATTGTTGGTGGTGAAGAAAAGCAGGGGTGACATCAGCTTTTCATTAACAGCAGGATCAGATTACAGTATTTTTCAGTGTATGCATTTAAACATTAACAATCAGCATTTGCTGTAAAATTAAATAAAACCCCATCCTCACTGGGTTTTTGGTGCAGCTGATGCTTGACTGCTGAAGATAATACACTGACCTAATAGCTTCGTGTTTTCCTATGGTGCTCTATTTATGCCCACAGGACTGTATCAATTTTGAAATGGTTTTTCATTTGGATTTAATTTTGCAAACAATTAAAAACTGAAAGAAATATTTTGAGTCAGAAGTCAAATGTCACAAAGTAGCCGTATCTTTAGTAAATTCCCATATTACATATTACATTATTCCCATTGGTCTTGCCTTTAAATTTCCCTATTAAGAAATTTAATTCCATCATTTGGTTTCTGGGAGAAGATAATACAACCATAGGTTGCATCACTTGTGGAAGTGACACAGGCTACATGAGAAGGACAGGATGTAAATGTAAAGTCACACTTCTTGGAATAAACTGTGTAGACAAACCTCTAAAGATAGACTAATCTTTGAAACTACAACCCAAAAAAACTATCAGCAGGTCACAGCTCAGTGCTATAGGGATTGTGAAAGGGTATTAAAAAGAATTCAGCATATACACAGGGAATATACAGGCACAGAGAAGAATATGAGTCTGGGGAGTCGATTCAAGAAATACTGCATCCAGCTCTGGCAACCACAGTTCAAAAGAACAGTGAGAAATTGAAATGAGTGTACAGAAAAATGCTTGTAAGATAGAAGCTGTAGAGCAGAACAGAGAACAAAGGCACGATGAAGAATTTGTGTCCTGCGGAACACAATACGATTGGAATTTATAAAAATGAAAATGGAAGTAGCATGAATATGGAAAGATGAGGATAAAAACATGCACATACACATTTCTCACATGTGTGAAGAAAGAAACAGATTGGAAAAAACCAAACTAAAGCCATATACAAATATTCAAAGTATTTTTTAGTCATAGAGGATTGCTCTTGTAGCAGCAATGTAAAAAATTATTTATGGACTTCTCTTAAAAAAGGTGGAATCTGAGTAAAAGAATGAGAAACTAAGATGTATGGACTTCTCTTATTCAAAGACTTAAACTGGCATTTTTAATTGATGTCCTCAGATGTTGGAGAAAAAAAATAATTAAAAACCCGAATGAAAAAGCTTTCCTTTGTCCTTTTATTTTCCTTTGTAATTCCTCACTTACAGTTTTGTCCTGGTAAGTGTGTTTCTCATGTGAAACCAGTTGCACACAGATGATCAGAGAATAGCTCTTAACAGCTCCTAGTTCCAAGAATCCAGGCTTGTTTCTGTTTAGTAAACAGTGTCTGGGGTCTGCAGGGGTAGAAACACTCAGACATCTGGTTTTTTTGAAATGGAAAAATGAAGCGTGAGGAAATAATGAAGTACAGACTTTCTTAATGGCTGGGAGCAGCAGGACATTCCAGCATCATTAACTCTTTCATTAACCTGCCAGTTCACTCCTGCAGACATTCCCATGTGTGTGACTCAAATCCATTTTTCTTGTTAGTCTACTTGTTTCAAGAGTTGCCATTGATATTTAACAGTAGGTTTCATATAATCATAAAGACACCAAACAAGCAAGTAATTGTACACATGGGTTGGAACAGAGAACAGCAAAAAGAACTGAGTATTTGGATGAATGAAACTTTCCATGTTATTAACAACCAGGAAAAACTTCAGTTACTACATTGAGGCTTATTAGATCAAAACCTTAGTGGGTAAAAAGGGGGAGAAAAGGACTCTAATTATAGATGAATACAATACAGCTTCCTCTGCAATCTCCATTCTGAAGCAGCTTTACAAATCGTGCTAGAGTAAACTAAACTACTTTTGTGAGGCTTCAGAAAGCATCGTTTGTTTCTGTCCTTGGCAATGATTGACTGATGTATCTATCCATTCTAGAAGCACTAAACTTTTAGTAACAGATGACACCCCAAAGGCAGCTATTGTTCTATTAACTCTAAGAAGGGAGCAATCACTCAGTTGTAAACATTGCCATTGCTGCAGACTAGCTGAGCAACACAGATACTTTGTACTTCAATCACAATTCAGCAAAAGTGAGACTTCTTATCTATTCAGATTTTTTTTTAACTGCTCAGATCATTTAATTAGCAGAGGTAATTGATACATTTCTAAAAGCCTGTCTTCTACAGGTAATATGAAACCGTGTTTAAAAAAAATTATCAGTGAGGCATATATGGACACTAACAAAACCTGGCAGATCTCTACCCACTAAAACAGTGGATACAAAACCTTTAAAAATGTTTTGTTACTACTGTTAAAATTGTGACGTGGAAAAATCCCCATTCAAGACACAATTGTGTTGAGCGCAGAAAGTTACACGAAGCGTACAGGATAAGGGGGAAGAAGTTGCTACAAAATAATACCACGTGCTTAGCAATTTAGTAGATACTAACCACCGCATAAGAAAAGGTGTTAAGAATAACACAAAAAACCCTCTACTTAAGTAAATCATCACATATACTCAGAAGAAATTAATTGTGTCCTTGTAACAAAGTTAATTGGTTGATTGCAAATATCAGTCTACCAAACCACCTGTTTCATCTACAAAGGGCATGTGGCAGACATGAAAGCAATGTCTTTGCCACTACAATTCTGCCTGAAGAACTGGAAGCTTTAAGGTTTGATTTGCTTCAAATTATTCACATCAAGTTCCTCCTCTAGGAGAAATAATTTTGTTTTTATCAGCTGGATAGTTAGCCAAATATTTTGACACAGATCATAAACAACAGTTATTTCCTCATTCATCTGGCACTAAAATGAAAATACACACGATAATCATGCATGAAATGTTAGCTAAAAAATATATTAAAAGACTGACAAAGTGGTGAAAGCTACGCCTCAGAATCAAACACTTCAAAACCTTCTGAAATTTACCTATGATATAAATATCTACAAGCATTGGGTGATTTTACATAATGCATTACTTTACATAATGCACATGGTGAAGTGTCATGTAAATATGATCTAAAACTAGAATCAGCTTTGCGATTATTTTTTTTTTTCTTTCCTCTGTACAATCCTTTGCCTTTTGGTTTCAAAAGCTGAGCATCCAATTGTGGGGGTAAAAAAAGTCAGAAATTCAGAATTAGGGAATATAGAGGCAAAATAAAAATATTAAGGTTCAAGTAGTAATATCATGCCACACACACAAGCATTTTGAAGCAATCACCTCCACTATTAAAAAAAAACCAACAAAACCACCCAGCCAAAACACCCAAACCCTTTTCTTTCATTTTGGCCCTAGGATATTCTTGTTACTCTTGATTGTACAGTTTGAGTTTCAGTCTATTGAGAAATGCCTAACAGCAAGAATCTCAGAGGAAAAAGAATTGAATTTGAATATAAACTGAGAAGTTAGGCTTTATTTCCTGAATGAAAGATTCACCATCTACAAAACCTGAGTGCTGTCCCATAGGCTTACCATGATGTTGAATTAAAATAAAATAACAAGAATACTTTATGTTCCAATGTTCCTTCCTCTTTTTTTTTTTTTTTTCCATACCTTCAAGATGAGTTTTAAACCTCAAGCCTCAAAGTACCATGGAGAAACGAAAGTGTGAGGTTAAAGAACTTTCCCCTGAATAGAGAATAAGATGGATAAACACAGAAACAAGTGCCAGCTGGACACTGTAGTCTTTCTAGGCAACAGGCTGTATGTGGCATGGGCATCTAGATCTCACTACAGACAAGAGCCTCGTGACTTTGGTATCATTTTTCACTTTTCTCCTGTAAATATTGAGTTCATTTGCATTGCCAACAATTCCAGAGATTTTATGGTGATTACTGAGTATGCAAACCAAATCACCCCTGTGGTCAAATCTTTACACAAGGCAACTTCAAAAGATAGTATCAGCTTGGGGCTGAAAACTGCTGAGGATAGAATAAACAAAACATAAAATGGGGCACTGAACAGGATATCATGAAAAAGTGATAGCAGTCAAGATACAGTTTTGACACAACCTTGGTAAAGTCCTAAAATTGAATGACTTGAGAAGAATAAAGACACAAATATGGCAGTAGGCACTGTGTTTCAGAAGGAAACTAAATTAAGATATATATCCTCCAAATCCCAAATTATATTTCTGGTCCAATTTTCAAGAACTATAGAATTTTACCTCCTAACACACATCGGAAACCATCCCCACGATAACCTGCCTTGCAGCGGCAGCTGAAGGATCCAGGAGTGTTGTAGCAGAAAGCATCTGGGTGACAGTGACCCTGTTGACATTCATCTACATCTGTAAAAGAAAAGATCAGTCTCAGGTGACTGTTCTCCTTCTGATGGACAAATCACAGTGATGAAATTAAGTACAAACCTGCCACATTTTCAGGCTCCTATTTTAGGGTATCTGATTAGACATACAGACAGTTCTTTGGAAATACATCTAGTACAGAAATGCAAGAGAGATAAAAAAAGGGGCTAAGGTTCAGCTCTTCAGGTGTTTCAGGTATCCCAGGGCTCTCCTATTCCAAAGGGTAATAGACATTATTAACTCACACAGTATTTTAGACATATATGTCCATTTTTCCTGAAGAAGTGACTTAACATAGCAAGAGAAGTAGAGCTTGGCTAGCCATGTTCCCAACATGTAGTTAGGTAAAGCTGGTCCCCCACTGCACTCAGACTGACATGAATGCAAATTTTTTTACATAGTCTGAGCATTTTGTTTCACCTCCTTAGTGATTTAAACCAATACAGTGCAAACAGTTGCAGCAGACAAAGGTCTGCAGGTGCAACTACTGCAATTTCTGCACTTATCTTGGACCCTCTATAGACCAAACATTGAAGAGTAAATTCAAAAGTGAGAAGAGGAAAAAAGAAATGCTTAATAAAACAATTCCTGCCTGAGAGACTCAAACTATGCAATTTCCTACTTGAGATGATAAGTAGGTATAGGACACAGCAAAGACCAGCCCAGTAGCACAATGGGAGTATAAAATACTATTTTATTTTACCCACAATAAATGGTGCTACCCACCCTCACAGGCACGCCCATCTCCGGAGAAGCCAGGGAGGCACGTGCAGACGTAGGCGGACCCTCCGGTGTACACACACTGAGCACGCTGAGGGATGTCACAGTTGTGTGTGCCCCTCTGGCAGTGGTTTACCACATACTCCACAGCTGCAGGTTAAATGTGTAAGAGAGGAGATGAAAATCTGAACATTCCTTCATATAGTCTAAGCCTCATAGTAAGTTCATACATTAGAACAACATCTGTGAAAGATTGCAGAAGAGAAAGGAAACAAGGAACTGAGGGTTTTTTGCTCTGGGAGTTAGGATTTATTTTCTTTTTTTCCTCCTGAAATCTCCCCTTTTGGTGTTGTTAAATCTTATTAATGCTTTACAATGAATTGACTGTCCTCAGCACCTCACAGGGGCCGGTTAATATAGAATGGGGCAGAAAGGCTACCATAGTGACAGATCCTAATATCAATATTGGCTTTGTTTATGAAAAGTAGTCCTGAATGAAGAAATGTAAGGCATCTCATATAGCTACCTCACATGTTAGCTAAGTGGCAAGTTCACTGCACTGGGAATTATTTAGATGACCTGCTACAATAACCTAGAACTGACCCAGGGCTGCTGTCAATTGGCAACAAACTGGAGCTGTGACTCACTCAATGGGAGATAAACACATTTGTCAACTACTGGAGAGATCTGGGACCACACCTGCAGCTTTTCATAACTCTCTCATGTTGACAGCTGTGGCTCTGAAGGCACCACACTACTTTGTACATAAATTGTTTCAGGAAGTTGCTGGAGCTCTGCCTAACCTGTTATGTCAGAGAACAGCAAAGGAAACCATGATACTTGAAATAGGAAGAGGTAAAATACTCAAAAAATTTTGGGACTGAAAATAGGGTGTCCAATGCATACACCTGAGAACAGACTTCCAGCTATTCTAGCAGAGGCTGCTGTAACACTGAGGCTGTCTTTACACAATTATGACAAGGATTTTACAGGGGGCCAAGACAAGACACTACAATGTTTATTTCATCACAGCACACAGATGGAAACTACCACAGTGTCAGCAGGGAAATAAAAAATCTTCTATCTGCCATATCTGAAAACATTCGGGTTTTTTTTCTGTTTCTCTAGAGGAAATGACATCATTGTTAGAATCATTAATATCTTTATTTGATGAAGTAAGTTTTGGATTAAAAAGAAATTCATTAAGTACAGTATTATAAATATGAAAGGTAAGAGTTTGAGCTCAAAGGGAGTCCCCAGGCCTTTCTGTTTCTCATCCTACAAATAGGAGAACAAGATTTATTTACAACTCTTATAAAGCTACCCAGTGAATCACACAGCTGGTATGAAAAAAAGTGCTGGTTCCAAAAAAGCTGAGTCAGAACTGGTATCCCAGAGCAACTCATAAAAGCATGGAGGGTTGCTGTTGCCCTTCTGGGGTTCAAATTCTCTGTAGGTTTTAAGACTCTCTACTGTGAAAAGATTACCATTTATTAACATTTATTTTCAATCTGTTGGGAACTTAGAGCTTATCTTTCCTCTCTTCAGCCTTAAAAATGCAATTTGGTTTTGGCTGAAGGAAGGGATCAAACTGAAATCCTTCAAGCTGGGCAAGGAATTACTTGGCACTTGCTAAAAGTGGAACATCAGCTTCATGGGAAAGTGGTAAAATGAAGCTGGTGAGGTCATGGCTGGAGCAAAGAATGTTCCCTTTCAGGTCCAAGTCACAAAAGTGCAGTGTCGGACGTAACAGAAGGAACATAAAGCTGCTCTTCCACATCTCACCCTGTCCCTTCCAGTGGCCTTGGTAGAAGGAGCTACTTTTTCTGACTGTTCCGCAACAAAGAGACTTAGGGTGCACTGTGACTTAAGGAACAGACATGAATTGTAATTCTTACTGGAGCAGAGAAATTTGGCTTCTGATGGAGTGCAATACACAGCATGCAAAGTCACAAACTCAAGGAAAATAATGCAACTCTCTGCTGTAAGGTGAAGACTCCTCAGTCTTTGCTGAAGAACAGTCTTGACTATAATGAGCAGCAACCTGGATGCATTAACTGATCAAAGGGTAGCTAAACTTCCACCACAAAGCTGTCACAACAGAAGCAAAAAATCCTCAGTTGTTATCACTTCTTTCCAAAACAAAGAGGAATTTCCAGCCGTACTGGAAGCATAAGGCTTCCAGCCATACTGGAAGAGGGTGTAGAGGTTTTGTTGGTACAGATAAAAATTCTAACAAGGAAAAAAAAAAAACCCAACAAAAAACCTAATCTCCATCCTATCCTGACAGTTGCAGCTTTGGAGGTAGAGTCATTATTCCTCTTTTGTTTGTTGTCATTATACCTCTTCTATCTACCATTTGTGGAGTCCTTTTTCCAAAAGGAATTTCTACAACTTGAGTGAAAAACAGGGCAAAGCAGGAAAAGATATCCCTAGACAACCTTAGTCTAGCAAATACAGATTAACTCAGGCTTCCTCCAGAAAAAAAGAAATTAAATTACAGAAAAATAAACTATTTCAGTGACAACTACTGAATTTTATATTTAATGATTCATTAGAAATGAGCTAAGAGCCAAATTGTAGAGATTTTAACAGTGAAGTGATCTGCAGCTACAATTCCTTTTCATCATGATAAGTTATCACTTTAGAATAAGTCAGCAATAGCCAAGACACACTGGTTTAGAACTGTGCACTATCTTGTCCAAGGGATGAATCTGTAACTGAAACCTCATCTGATAATTTTCTGTCCCTGTGGGATGGATCACAGCTCAAAGGCTGGTGGGCAACGTTTTCAAGAAACATGAAACTTACCAACACAAGTCCGACCATCTGCTGCAAACTGGTATCCCTCAAAACACTCGCAGCGGTAGGTTCCCGGCTGGTTGTTGCAGTCTGCATTACTGCCACACAGCCCTGGCTGCTCTGAACACTCATCAATATCTAGGGTATTAAAAGGATCTTGGTTATCACAAAAATGCATTTAATAGAGATGCCAGGAAAACAGAAACTCGGGCACTCTAGGTTAATAGCAGTCTTCTGTACTTAGGCCACAGCTTGGATAGATCATACCTCTCAAGAGTTATTAATAACCTGAAAATAAGTTTTGACCTAACTGTGTCCTCAGCTAATCTGCACCAAAAAGAAGAAAACAAACCAGGAGTTCTATCATGGAGTAATAAGGGGAAGGTACAGAAAATTGCAGAGGAAAGAGGAGCCAAAGAAAATTCAGCCTTAGGTGATCAGAAGCAATGATAACTACTGGGGGAGCATGAACTCTAGGAAAGGCTTCCCCTTTCATCATCCATACACATCTCTAATCCACTGCTGCCCAACTCACAGCATCAGAGGACTGGAAGGGATAGTGTGATGCTGTTGATTTCATTTGCAAGTTGATTATAGGGTTACAGTGGAAGGAGAGTTGTGCTTTGGGTTTTAAAAACCCCCAAAACATTTTAAGGTAATAGGAATGACACATTACATTAACAAACACTTTCACTTCATGAAAACCAGTATTTGTGCTGATTGCAAGGCAAAACCCAAATGCACTAGGAATACAGAGCTAGGCAGAACTGGGAAATATGAGACTTTTTGAACAGAAATGTATTTTCAAAGTAGATCATGAAAAATATGATTTCATTGAATGGCACATATCTGTGCTCTGTCCACACGTGCATTTCCTATTTCTCATCTCCCTTGAGAATTTTTAACCTACTTGACTCATTTTAACCAGAGCTTCCATTACAGTAAATTTCTCACAACAAAGTTCCCACATGTTTTATAAAAAGCTGAACTGGGTGGGAAAGATGTTTTGCAAGATAGGAAAACATACTCTTCAAGACAGTCAAACTTGCTTGCTTTGATTATTGAGATAAATCCATCACCCAGCAGCCTTCTAACCTTAAAACCAGCCTCTCAGGGCAGTTCATTTTGCTGGAATGGCTAGTCCTGAGGGTCAATATACACCAAAGAAAATAAATTCTGCATAAGCTTTCATTTTGCAATGAATTGAAGTCTTCTGATACCGTAACAAACATGTCCATCTCCACGGAAGCCAATTGAACATTCACAGAAGAAACGATTCCCAGTTCCTGGACGGCACATGGCGTTGGTGTCACAGTTATGAGTGCCAGTGTAGCAAGGATTCCGGTTAATATCAGCAGAACCATCTGGCAAGAGAGACCATATTTAGCCTTGATGACTCTGTCCAAGCAATAGCACCCAGTTAAGGACCGGAAGGAGGTTGCTCATAACACACATTAAACAAGGAAACACACTTTTTTGCATCAGGAAGAATGGATGATATGCAGATGATATGCAGGTGATATCTTGGACACGTATTTAATAGCACTGATATTCCTTGTTACTTGAACAAAGGACTACTGAATTTAAAAAGAGCCACAAAAACCTCTCTAAAGAACAAGACAGAAAGAAAATTAATTTCCCAGTCACTGACACTAGGCTCAAAACATTATTCTTAACAGTTTGGTTTATTCATTTTAATTAGCAGAACTTTATTTTGTAACAAACAAAAGTGAGCACAGCCTGGTTTTATGCTCATCTGGTGTGCATTTTCAAATTGTCTCTTCGCTTTCTTTCTGATGATAGTGCAAGCTTGGAGAGCTCATCCAAAAAAATACCTTTCATAAGCAGCCTACAATTCAAAGATAAAATGCCAAGTTTCAAGATAAATTATAGAAACTCCTCCATGGTAAATCTCTTTCCCTTCATTTGCTCTCTTCTCTGATAGTGTGCCCCTCCCCTTAAAAATTAATAGAGGAACTACAAATTAGGTAAAGATAAATAACATACTCCATTCATCCAGGTGGGAATAGATTCTAGGTGGTGTATTGAGAGTACTTCAAAGAATTAGACATAAACCCCCGTGAATTTCAAGAACAGAGCATCCCTTAAAGACTCCCTCTAGTAAAAATACAAATTTTTAACAGTCCCTTTTCTCTCCTTCACTGGTGGATCTGGACTGCCACCAAATAACAAAATTAATTCATTTAATTCATTAACACCCAGCTAGGGCAAGCTGAACAAAAAGGGATGACTGCTCTTAATTGCTCACCAAAGAGAAAAAGCAAAGTTTGCAATTGATACGTACCACTGATGGGGCCAATGGAATTACTCATGGCATATCGCAGGATCTGCTCGTCTCTGTTGTACAGGACAAACACACTGTCCACCGAGAGCTGCTGAGTGGCAGGAGCAGAATGGGGGGAGTCATCATGGATGCATTCGTCAAAGGAGATGGTCTGGCGCCACTGATAGGCACCCGTGTACGTGGAAGCAACTCCATCTCTTTCTGGCTCTGTCACTGTGTACTCCCTCGAGGATGATGAAGTGATCACTACGACATGACAGCAAACACACTGATCAGAGCAGAGATCAAAGCACACTGTCAAATGCTGTCTGTAGACTTGGGATGCAGTCTGTGTAGTGCAAATGGGAATTTCAAAGGCTAGACACTGTGAAAGTGGATGCATTTCCATGCAAAGGAGCAAGCACTAATATGCTTACTCTGTTCTCAGGTATCACAGCTTTGAGAAATGAACCATTTGATTTATTTTGACTTTTTTAAAAATTTAACTTTGCCTTGTGGATTTCCAAGCAATGAAAGGAAAATTAAACTCAGCAAACTCAGAGGTTCCTTTAATTGTATTTATATAATGGATCTCCAAGCTAAGAACAACAGCCATCTCACCAGCCTAAAGTACACCCACTTTTAGTTCATTGCAGGCTATTAGCCTTGGATTTTCAGAGGGCGCAGAAACTGCATGTCTGAGAGCTTCTGTATGCTTCACAACAGTTTTCTATATTGGGAAAAATTGTGAACAAAACTCTTCAAAAGATCTGGGCTTGTGGATCCTCCCATCAAACAGAAAGGTCCTCAGAACACCACTATTCTTAGTTTGGACACCAGAACACACCTATATCAATCCACTTGCAACAGCTGGCTAAAGCTGGATTTCTGCTAAGTCCATTAGATACGGGATATGGGATAGCAGAATTGCAGCTGTTTGAGTCCTGGTAATCAAATCCAGTCTCTGGACACCTCCTTCCAGCCTCTGACTTCACCTCCATGGGAACGACATTTCTGCCAAGTAGGCAAATGTTCTGTAGAGCAGACACTGCCCAAATTCTCGAGCTGTTCAGCACAAAACAGAAGCTTCCTGCTGCTTCCACTTCCTCCTCCTCCCAGCCCAAGACAACAGGCAAAGCACAAGTGGGTTCATCACTGGCTACCAAACCCAGACATTAGCGAATATAAGGCAGTGACGATGTAACCACACCATTTTCTGTCTCTAGAAACCAAAAGTGCACCCTTGGAGGAAAGAGAAGTCTCTCCAGTATTCATGTGCACATGAGTGTACCACAGGCTGCTTTGCCTGTATTGCTCTTTGACAGCTGGTCTGGCTGGCCAGCAGCAACACTCCAACCTCACTTCTTTTCTTTCTGTATTGAAATGCCTGTAATTTTATCCAGGAAGGGGAAAACAAAGCAAGTAAGCAAAACAAGATTGCCCTGTAAATAGCAAATGAAGAATGGTTCTCTTGGGAAACCTAGGATCTGTGATAAAGGAATTGAGAGAGCAGAGAGAGGAGTACTGAAGAGAAAATGTAGGAAACTGGTAAGAGAATTAATTTTCTGGTAAGGGAGATAATTTTCTAGTTGGTTGTTAAAATTCAGCTCAAATAATACTGATAAATGCTTGCAGAGTCATTGAAATTAAGTTTACATGAAACATAGTGTAAATAATGGGTTTAGTCTCATCAAAGATCACAGCTCACTTAATGACATTACCATAAAAAGCTATATGCCAGTACAGCTCCTACTAAAGGGCTGTGAACTTACAGACAAAACTTGCAACTTGTACACTGCCAACAACAGTGTAAAAAAAAGGCCAGCAAAAAGGGAAATTGAGAGTGTGCTGCAATCAACGGTTCAGAGAAAGCTAAGCTTGTATTTCTTCAGTGAAAAGATTAGAAATATTTGCATTGTCCCACTCAAAATCCATCTTCTTTTGAAACCTTTTCCTAAGAGACAAAAAGCAACTTTCTATAAAAGTCAAATACACTTGTTAGAAAGGGAATAAAACAATGTTCTTTGGATTGTCTTAGTCTCTGCTTTGTGCACCTTCTCATCACTTCATTCTTATGAAATCTTACCGGAGCTAGAAGTGTGGTAGAGTTCAGTGTACGGCTCTATATGGACTGATGCCCCAGGCGGGATCTCGGGTATTCTGCCTTCCATTTCTGTGCTGATGGTAAGGTGACCATGCTCATCAATGCCACTGAACTTCTGCTTCACAACCAGCTTCTCATTGTTACGAAGAAAAGTTACTTCTGTTTGCCGTGTAAACTCACCACCTAAAGGAAGAGTAAAACACTAAACTTAATAGAGGTTTCCGACTCCTTCTATTCCAAATATTGCTTCTAGTATATAAAATAAAAATTACTATTGCCTGCAAGTTAGTAGCACAATTACTAATGTCTTGTGTTTCTAATGAAATAACTTTCAGAGGTATACTGATAATATACTTGGATACTGCAAGCAAATTTTTAAAGCACTGAACATGATAAATCACAAACAAACCTGAGGCAGCAGGGTTTTATTAAATTAAAAAAGAATTTAATTTAAAAAGAAGTTAAAAGAAGTTCTGACTAAGCTAATAGCAGTAGGCTATTAGCCTACCATTTAAAAGGACATTGTAGCGAAAATTTCTATTAGGAGTACAGAGAGTTAAAAAAAATTCAGAATCCAGTACATCTGTTTCCAAATCAAAACCAAGTGAAATGTATGTTGTAAATTCCAGAACAAGCTTCAAACATACCAAATCCAAGAAGATCCCAGAACAAAAAGTTGTGTTCAACTAAATTCATATTACATGTCTGTAAAGAATCAAATTTTAAAAAGAAACACATGTTCTTCTAGAACATATTGAATCTACAGCTTGAATTCACAGTGGCACAACCAACCAGATTTGGCCTTAATCTCTTATGAAAAGCTTGAATTGTGAGCAGGGGTTTCCCTCAAATTAGCTAACAGAGTCATTTGCATGTCATGCAGCAGCTGTTTCTGTTAAGTGTTTCAGACTCTCAGGAGGTCAGATAATCATTTCTCTTTTGCTCTGTTGGTACAATCAGGCAATTAACAAGTTAAATCTCTTGAAGATGTAGGAGAAGCTTTTTTTAGTAACTATGTACAATCTAGTAACAAACCCCTTCCCCAACAGATCTTTTTAATAATTTCTTTCTTGAACAGAAACTGGCCAAGCCAATCTTCTCTCTAGCACAGTTGGTTCTTGTACACTGACAATAAATTAAGAGGTCTACTGTCTATATATTATAAACAAGAAAAATGGTGAGAAATTTGATTACAAAAAAATAATCTGCAGCTCTGAATAGATGTGTGTTTTCACCCTATATTGCTTCTAAATACACATTTGTTTTCTATCAAGACAGAGGAAAGCATAGCAATTTTGAACATTATCTTAATTTAGAAGTTACCAGTAATGCTGAATCCATTTTTATATCCTTGCTGTTCCACAGCAAACATCCATCCTATGATACCTCCAATAGAGGCAAGAGGTAGTAAAGAATACCCCAAAGTCTCTGGGATTGTGCTGATAGCAGTGTAGGCACGCCCTTGGTTCATCACAACATAGGAGTGGAGATCAGTGTTCTCAAATGTAACTGGAACAGGGTTGTTTCCTACAAAGATTCTTCCTCTGACCTTGCCGTTGACTCTCTGAGGAGAACCTGGCAAATCAATACAAAGCATCAGAGCAAAATAACAGTACCCTCATACTCTCCAAGGAACACATCCAGAGTGTTCACAATGTTCAGTGTTGAAATAAACGGCAAACAAATACTCAGAGTTCAGACAAGAACTTGCCACGTGTTCACTTGCTTATGTAGATATGTGCATGTGTGTTGTCTTATGTGGATGATTAAATGGCCAAATTTGCATGAACAGATGCAAGCCCTTTATCCTCACTGAAAATTCTGTCTGCAAGGAGAACTTCATAACACTGTTGGCAGTATATCTGAGAGTAAGTGGCAGACAAAAACTTCTTAAGATCCCACTTCATACCAATACACACCGAATGCAAATTTGTTCATTCCCTTTTAGGAGACTAACACCATTAGTCAATAATTGACCTATTATTCTAATCTATAACATTTCTGGGCTCTGACCCATTGGCCATTTTGAAGACTGTCAGTGCTGTACAGAAGTAGCTGTTTTGGATTGCTAATTTTCTCCTGTATATAATTTCTTACACGGAAGTTTAAATTTCATTATCATCAGATCCTTTTGGTTTTTTCCTTCATATGGAAAATCCAATTTTATGAACTGAAAGCTAAGTACTAGGTTTTGCTTTCCTGGTTTATAAAACACAGTCCTGCAGTAAACTATTTGAGTTGTTAAAAAGCATCTGTACTCTGAGCCAGATCACTATGAGGATTACAAGTGTATACATAAGAAATTCCTTTATGGATTTTACACAGGAACAAAGTTTAAATGGGTATTTAGCAAAAATTTGTCAGATCACCCTTTAGTTAAGCAGCTTAAGAGTCAAAGAGGAGCTGTGTTCTTGGGTTCAATGATCAAAGTTAATTTGCTCATCACTTTGAACTGTCCATTTCTAGAGTGAAGACCGTATCAGATTATCTTATTAGACACGTTGGAACTTCATGACTAATTCTAGGAAATACCACTGGATGTTATGCTTTCTTTTAAACCATGTCAGTTACAGAAGTTTATTTTTACTAGAAGGTCATAAAGCATATAATTGACCACTCAAAATAATTTACATCACTCAAAAAACAGTTCAAAAGAAGTAGAGCTCAGTGATTCAAATGCCTTTCACTATATCTCAGTGATAAGTCTCACAAAAAGTTTTTATTTGGAAATGGATACAGGTCGCCTCATTCAAGAATGCCATATGTAATTGTTACTTATATATCTAAATTTAAAACAAATTACCTTCTGCTACACACTGTCTGCCATTTCCTTTGTAACCAGCAATACAGCTGCAACAAAACCCGCTGGGATAATCCTTGCAAATAGCATGAACAGAGCACTGGTGGCGGTTGTTAGCACAGGTCTGTTGGACATCTGTGTGGTAGCGAAACACTGTAGAAAATAAGACCAGACATTTATATTTCTTGTAATTACTGTGGTATTCACATAGCCCTGGACTAGTTTAAAAGTATCTCTGAACTCACTTGGTCAGCTTTTCATTTTCTCTTTAAGGAAAATGAACTATTGCAATTGATATTGGCTAACCTTGCAATATGCAAATAAATTTCTACTATTTTGTAGGAAATGTCAGGGCTTCAGCTGTTTAATTATTTAGAGAACTGTTTCATTCTATCGACTTCAGCGATCTATATTAACACAAAGCAGTTAAAACTCCTGTCAAAGCTAAACACACAATTATTTTAATTTGTCCTTGTTTCCAAATTAAGACAAAAAGGGCACTTTCCAACTTTAGAACAAAGCATATCAGTGCAGTACCGAGGACCATGCAGCAACTAGATGCCCCCTGTAATCCTAACTATTTTTCTCTGTTATTTAATGGAGATAAAAATTCTCACATCTGCTTCAAGAAACAATTAACATGTAGGCAGTCAGTCACACTACTCTGAATTTTCTAGAAATGTTTTATTAGAACTTAGATTTGCTAATTCCAACCTTCTAAGACTTGAGGCCATGAAATCCTAGCCAAAAAGTTTTACGACAGCTTCTATTCCCAACCTTTATTAAATCACCTGTACTCAGTAACACATCTGAGAAAGGCCTGTGAGCTTGACCAGGGATCTAGTTTACTAGACTGGCAAGAATTTCATCTGAGGTGATATCCAAATTAACTACCTCAATTATTAACACAAACTTATGACATGTATCCAGGTTTTTCAGACGTTAAGCTAATGAGAAGGAAATGTTGTTTCTTTTGTAATTAAATTTCTTTCACAGGTCTTTTTTACAGCCTTTCACTGTCAGAAGAAGCTAGACTGTACAAAAGACCTGACCTATTCCAGTTTCATCAAATTCTTCCACATCAATGACTTGAGGTGGCTGTGGGGGGAACTGCTGGATGCGAAACTGCCGAGGTGGAGCTTTTGCTGTTGGGAAATTTTGAGGACTGTAAAAAGACTCAGTTGAAGGTGTTCCTGTTACGTCTTGGTATGAAGTCGGAAAGTCTCCCGCAGCTAACCGAGGAACACTGTATGTGACAAGGTGCTGATCCTCTTCAGTGCTGTCTGTACTACTTGTGATGTACTGCTGTGTTATTTCAGTGGAACCATAGTCAGATGTAAAGGGCTTAGAAGTCATCTCCTCGTCTTCTTCGTTGGGCTCCATGCTCTCCAAAATATTGCTGATTTTGGCAGGCACAATACTGTCAGATGAGCTACCAACATCGAACACCCAGACGCCCTGCTTCCCAGCATTGCTGCTTCTGTCAAAGAGAAGCACATGCCAAATAAAGCAAGTTATGTGGTATTTCTAACCTATACACAATGTTATCCTCCATTTCAAAGTGCCAGGACAAAACTGTCTAATTATCTTATCTACGTTACATACTTGCCTACAGGTACAGTATATTCAGCTATAGAGCACCCCTGAGAGTTTGGGTAACATTTTTTTTCTCCTCACCCAGAGCTCTGTTTCCAGCTTTCTTGTCTCCAAAGCAGTGGGAACAGAAGGAGATTTTAGGGCCAGAAAGATCTTGCTACCACTTACAAAAACTTTCTAATTCATCCCTTTTCCTGATTGTTCACTCCTTCTTTCAAAAAAACAACCTGCCTAGGATGGATTATAAGGAAGTCTAAGTGGTACTATTTATAGAAGAACTACGTATACAGGAGTTGCCACCAGTGACAATGAGAATATGGACTTTTAACAAATTACACCAAAGTCCTGAAGGGCATGGATATTTATCAGAGGCAGATCTTGTGATTTCTCATGCAATGGCTAACAGGATCACATTAGTTCTCACAGATTAATACTACAATTAAGAAAACCATGGAGTTCTGATGTTATCTTGAAGAGTTTAAACAAAGAAAAAAGCATACTTGTACAGGTTTCTAATGCTGTCTTCATCATTAGCAATGACATTGTAGGATCCTGGCTTTTCCCAAAAGTAGTAGTTTGTAGAGGCTTGACTAAAGCCAACCATAGCAGGAATATTTTCATCACCATTCTTGGAGTATGTGCTATAGAACTGCAAGCTATCTTCTGGATAAAGGAAAATAGCATAGGAACTGGAATCAGAAGAGGCTAAGACAGCCTGGAATGTGTTTCTCTGTGGAAAAAAAAAATTAATACACATTTACTCATGTAAAAATAAGACAGAGTAATTTTCTTTCATTTTAAACACAAAATGAAAAACAGAATTCTCATTAAAAAGAAAACATTATGAAAAGTAAATTAAATCTGTAAGAAATAGTCAGATAAGCTGCCCAAAGCATAATAATTTTAGATTCTGTACTGCTATAGGATGCTACTTCATTTCCTTAAAATAACAGAAGTGATGTGCTAGACTAAATAAAAAATTCTGTAAACAGAATGTTTAAAGTAAAGTTCAAGTTTCATGTTGCTCAAGTCTTTTCCCACAGGAACACTCCTGCCTACTGTAGGAACCACTGGGACAGCACCTCAGACATCATGTTCATTGCTACCAGGGTGCAGAATTGTTACTGTACACACAATGCTTGTGCCAAGCTCAGCAAAAGAAATCAGTTGTTGACATAAAAAGATGTGCTAAGTAACAGTAATGTTCTCATCAGCTTTGATAATTATGCTGTACAATGTTACATATCCTTGCAGGATAGTACCTGAATGGTTTAAAAAGGGGAAAATTATCTGTGAATAATAATAAAAATAACCTCTGTTTCTTAATCTAATACTAGCTATAAAACATGAGCTTTTTCTGAATGTAATATCATCTGTTCAAAATGAGCTTAAGATTCTACTAGTCCATATAGTTATCTGATTTTACATAGCTTGATGTCAAAATGACTTAAGAGTCGGCTGAAAAATGCAAGCCAGCAAGATTACACTGCACAGAGGGAGTTCAGGATATTCTTGTACAGTTATTCTCACAACACATTTAACATTCAAAGTAAGAGTCATTAGGAAACACAACAAAATCAGCTATGTAGTTTCAAGCATTATCTTTCAAATTAATTAAACATTTTAGAATAAATTTCAAAAATTCTGGGAATTCCTATTTTGCTACAGCCTTTTCAACGATAATATACATTCTTAGGTCTGCAGAATTCATTTAAACACAAAAAACTTCAAGCCTTCAAAGCAAAAGGTTACAGTGCTACACTATAGCTGAGCATGTGTCCAACATGACTTAAAGCTCTGATTAACATTCACCTTTTCTTCCAAAGCGTGATCTTCTCCTGGTGCCTGGAAAGGAGCCACAAGCTTCCAGGTAACAATAACAACACTGCTGGGAACAAAAGCAGTCTCAGGAAAACCTCTTTTGATATAGTCTGATGCAAGTTGCAAGACATCTGAGGATGAATCTTCTCTGTAATACACATTTCCATGTCCATCTGTTGTGTCCAGGTCAGCCATAAAAGGAGCAATAGCCCCAAAACTTACTGGGAATTGACCAAGGTATTTTTCTTCACTTGAGGGCTCATTCACTGCAATAATCCCATTAGTGGTAACCTAATAAAAAGATGAAAATTATAACACAAATACTATTCATACAACTATCTCCCACACGTGTGTCCAGATCACAATATTTTAATTTTAATTCCAAAAGAAATTTAATCCAAAGTCAGTTTTGTATTTAAAAAGTAACTGCGGTTTTTTTAAGCTTTTGGTTTTTTATCCCAAGTTAGGAGTCCTGAAATTTTGGTTGCCCAAAATCAGAGGTCAGCTTTACAGACAGAACAACCTTTTTTCCCTAGATAAAGATTTTAGCTATTTGAATTTCAGACACCTATTGTCTCTTCTCACAAGGATGTACATAACCACCAATGCTTCAGAAGATGATAGAATTTCTGAGCAAAGAGCTAATTCACACATAGAAGACAACCCAAAAAAACTGCTCCATGCATATATATTGTAATAGCCTGGGTGAAAGTCTTTTGGGAAGACATACAGATTTCTCTTTGCCTGGCCAGGACTGCTTTAGTTTTTACTTCAATACAACCACCCTCCTAGGAACTTCTCTGCTACTGTACAAGGCTAACAACAACAAGCTGCTGCTCACTCTTAACATGCTCAGCACTGAGCACAGTGCACAGCTCTTATACCAGAGGTCATGGAGTCTAGGAGACAGAATTTCCACAGCAGATACAGGCCACCCTATAAATTCCTTTACAGTTGAGTGCCCTGATACAGTCTGATAGGAAAACGGGTCTAATACTTGAAGCAGGGGGGTGGGGAAGGAATTTACAAACATAATTGAAACTCTTGGTCTGCAAATGCATAGATACTGGCTCAGGAAGATTCAACCCATCAAGTGAGATGAAGAGTCACAGTCAGCGACCTCTGTCTGAAACAGAGATAAATACATACATACAGGTAGGTGCTAGTCACATCCAAGTGTGACAGCCAAACTCCACTGGCAGACCAGAGCTGGCTCTCATACACAAAAAGCAGTGAGCAAGACTACAGGTGTCAGGCTTTGTGGCAGTGCCAAAGTGCTCACACACAGCTTTTTGTGCCAGGACCTTCTACCAGCTGTGTCTAGCACTGACTCAGTCACAAAAAAATCCACCTCCAAGTCTTGGACCACCTGATAACAGGACACATCTGACTACCTACAGGCAGCCAGGCACTCACTCACATACACAGGGGACTCAAAAGAGGACAGAGGTCCCAGAACTGTCACTATAAGCTATGAAATTAAAACTGCAATCTCCCACAGATTTATCTCACTCACAGGGATTCTTGTGAGTCCAAGAAGAATAAACAGTTGCTGGATCTTTTTACACAGTCAAGATACTGTCAGCATGATAAAATCTCTGCAAATGCCTAGAAATGGGCCAGAATGGCCACTGACTCAGACTGCAAAGCCACCTAGCCCAGTGGCCTGTCCCCAGCTGTACCTGCTAGCTTAGAGATTCAGCAAAACAAGAGGACATGCACATACTTCTCCAGTGAGCCTCCAACTGCACCCGCCACAAGAGATTCCCTGTTTGACTTTTTCATAGGACATGCACATACTTCTCCAGTGAGCCTCCAACTGCACCCGCCACAAGAGATTCCCTGTTTGACTTTTTCATCCTCAGTGGATCTCTTCACATATCTATTGAGTCTTCCTTTAACACATATAAACTCTATGCATCCACAAAACCCCTTAAAAAGGAACTCCACAAATTTGTGACCCATATTCTCAGGTCACTCCTACTTTTGTTTGCTTTCAATTTGGCTTCCAACTTCATTTGACCACCCTAATTTTTATATTGGGACATATAAAAATTCTACCCAGTCTCTCCCACTATGCAATTTCTCCTGCAGCCGACCCTGTCTAAGAGCTGTTCTCTGTCTTTGATCACTCTTATTGTCTCCCCATATTTCTTCGCCTTTTTCCACTCTATAAATTTGTAAACAAGGAGGCCAGTGGGAGGCCACACATATTCTTCATAGAGAAATTATGGTCTGTGCAAGCCCATTAAAAATGCTGCCTACACCTTGGCAACATCTTTAAAATCTTTACCACCACTGCTGCTACATACAGTAAATCAGAAAAAGTGTAGTATGAGAACTCATGATACCAATCACTCCTCCATACACAAAAAATACCTATACTTAAACTCTTCTTTGGCTATCCAGAGGGTCAGAGCATGTTTCCTGACACAGGCCAGTAGTCAGTCAGTTTGGTGTATAACTGGACAATGCTTATCACAAACCATTAGCTAAACTTAGAAAATAGTTCCCACAGTATATCAGAATTTATTATAAAAGTGCCTTTACATATGCTGACTGTATTTTCTGCAGATGTATAGTTTCATTAGTAGCTAGAGTGTAAAATACTAAGAAAGTCAATAATGTAAAGTTATCATGTAAAAAATAGGTGAGTTGGCTTTATGCATGAACACTATATCTAAGGTATATAAGCGGTAAATAATCTGTACATGTTGGAAAAGCAGGTCATGTTACAAAGGAGAAGCAGCTGAATATTGAGATAATTTTTACGCTACTCATTCATGACTTGACAGTAGCCACAGATCCCAAGGTGAACTATTAATCTGAAGAATAAAGAACTAAAAAGACAGCATGGGTTACCTCAGTACACACCCTACAACTGCAGTCAGAGAGGTAAGAGAAATCTAGTCCAGAAAAGTTCCCTGAACTCCTACAACATCTATACACTAGAAAATGCTTCATAATCCTGCAAAGCAAAGTTAAAACATGACCTGAAAATTAAAACCCCCTAATTATACTGTACCACTGGAAGACAGGATGGAGAATTGTGGACATTACAGTCTGTTTGCTAAGACCTTTTAGCAAAGAGATGCACTCCGTCTTTAAATTAATAAATGAAGTGCAAGTTAAAAGTTTTCCTCTTCTTTCTGCTTTCTTACATTTTTGTACACACACAACCCTACTCTCAACTAAATCCTTTTGTGAGAGATGACAGGTGTTTGAAGTATTGCAAACAAATTCCATGCCCTTCATCAAATTTGGTGTGTGTAGATTTTGCAGCTTCATGATCCCCCATTTATGGCAGAGATAAAAATAGCATTAAGAGAAAATACAATTAGGACTAATTAATAATGCAGAATAAAGCAGAAGCCAGAATAAATGGCCCTCTTCACCTCTTAGTGACATGCATGTAGCTATTTCTTTCCTATTTATTAAAAACTTTAATGTAAGAAGTAATTTTATTAAAGAGATTCAAACCCCATTTTTTAAAGGAAGATTTTAAGTAGGACAGTTCCATTTTAAATGTTCAGGGAACATTTCTGTAACCCAGAAAAACATTTGCAAGCCATCATATGAAAATAAATAAACAAGCTGTTTGTTTCAATCTTCAGGCAAAAAAAGAAACTCACCAATAATGAAAAAAATGTTTTTAGCTTTCAAATTTAACAATACATTTATAATGTCTAAGACAGTGAATACTCCTTTAACTTCACCCTACTTCTTTCAAGGTCACAAACATAGGTTTAAGTGTGAATCCCAAAATAAAGAGAAGTAGTTTGGAGTAAGTACTGGATTTCATCAAAGCATCATTCCCTGTCCAAAGGGAAAGGGGGGAAATGAGGCCTCAGGTGGGCGTTGTCTAAAGACCAGCTTTACAGTACATCTTTCCTTTTAGGGTATAACACTATTTAAATTGACAGGAACTAACACAGATGTATTTTTAGCATGTTAAACTTCTGGATTACACACATAGTTAACATACATTTGTGGTTTGTAGCAGAAGCAAGAACACACATACACAATTCTAGGTCCACCTTGAAAACCAAATGAGAAGAGGAATGCAAAGTAAGGAAGTGCTTCTATTAAAAGAAAAATCCTATCTCTGTGTGTACAACAAAAAATTAAAGTTTCTAACAAATGAGGTACTTGTTCCCTGTTCAATGATTAGGCATTTTACAGGCTTGAATATTTCTGCATAAAAAAAGTTTAGAAGATTTGAATTTATTTTTACAACTAAGTGACCGTTAACTTAAAGCAGCAAAGCTTTTCAAATCAAACTATTAATTTAAGAAGTCAATAAAAGTAAGGATTAAAAAAATTGAACGAAACTTGCATTAGAGGATTCTCAGCTCTTTCCTAAAAGGAGGTAATTCCTAATCCTTCCATTTTTCCACACCAGCGAGTTTTAGTGTAAACTGAAAAAGCCTCAATAAAAGTATGCTATTAAAACAAATAGAGTAGTATGGGTTAGTGATAGAGTTCAATGCTATAAATCTTACATACAGAAGCACCATATTGAAGATTACAATATGTAAAAGTCTGTTTCTGCTTATATGAATTAAAAGTGCTCTCTTCTGTCTATGAGAAAAGGTTTTGTTGCAGGGATTTTATGACAAGTTGGTCCTAAACAAACACTTCACAGGATGCCTTGCCTTTCAATTCACATATACAGCTAGCTTAAACAACTCAGCTTCTCAACTGTCAAAAAATATAGAAAGAGAACCCACACAAAATTGCTACTTAAAATTATGTGCATTAAATGTTTACTTAACAGGTATACTTCTCCCCTCCTTACCCCCATGAAGTTTGTACTGTGCTTCTGTTCTGCAGTACTTGTGCCAGATTCAGTGCAAGAAAAAGCCTCTGCATAGTGTGCAGACTGCAGACTGATACTGAAATGCCATTCATTAAAACTTCCCATTCTTAATACTGAGTAATGCTGGCAGAGCCCTGGAAGTGATTTGGAAATACACTCTACATGGGTATACTTTCAGACAAAAACTAATTAGAACTGCTCCTGTTTGAGGGTGGGCAAGTAACAGAATCAATAAACTACAGAAACCTAGACTGGTTAATCAATTTACTGCTCTTTGACAACTCTGTCCTGTCTCTGTCGCTTACCTGACATGCTGCTAGTTATCTTTGCTTCTCAGTGGCTGAACATATAGCCCACTATCTTTCAAGAATATGTTTGTGCTTTTAAACGTGTATTTTTTTTACTTGGGTTGACTAATCAGTGACCAAATTAGAGTACAGAAGGCAAGACAATGAACTAAGGGTCAAACTGAAGTCTGAACTCCACTTAATACTTCATCTCAGTCAGCTTCAGTGAACAACATCCATTTTCCACATAAGCATAATCCAAATCCCCCGAAGTTTTAGATTTCAGATATGATTCTAGGATTTATCTAACTGGTGGCAGTATGGACAATGAAAAGGAGTGTAACTTAAGTGCCAGCACTAATATAACTCATGTAGCACAAGCAAGTTCAGGGCTTCAGTGAATACCCATGAAACAGACTTGTGCATGGGAACTACATCAAATTTTGAATGATTGCAATCACATAGAGCTCTAGTGTCCCAAGTGTCTCCATGTAGGTTAATCGACTGAGTTGCATCTTGGATCCGTGGTACTAAACCACACTGTTTTATCTGGACAGGGAGGTGAGATTTAGTTTACCAGATTAATACACTAAACACATTGTGCCTTGCCTACCAAAACCTTTCTAAATATGTTACTCAGCATGTTGAATTGCTAGCCGAGATGGGGCCTCAGAGGAAAAGAGGCAACGATAAAGTTGCTTTTGAGCAGCTCTGCTCCAGACAATCTGTTTTCAATCCCATCTTCAAACACTGAACACCCTCCATCAGCTATAAACATGCACACACCACTCTGGGACGCAGATCCAGGTGTGAGACGCACACAAGGCTGAGATGTGCTTGCAGCTCAAAGCATGTGATTACTATGGATATGGACTTGCTCTGCCCAAGAGTCTCTTAAAGCAATGAACACTTGAGAATGCCCGAGAAATTAAGGAACAAAAAGCTCCCTTAGCTTTCTAAGGGTGCTTAGAGATGCCAGTCTTGGACATGTTAGGCTGCTGATTAGACACTTCCTTTTAGTTTTGTGATTCTGGCATGCTGAAACACACAAATCAGACCACAATGAGGATGTTTCTGAGCTGCACACACTCTGTATGAGTGCAGAAAACGCCTGGGGATGGCAATCACTCTGGTTAATCGATTGCATTTTCTTTACCCTCCTACTATTTGTTGCATTGTCTTCCAGCGGAGGCTGTGCACCTCGAAGAATCTGCCCCGGGCACTGCGTGAGAAGGAGTTAATACGACCCCCATACCTGACTGAACACGATTGGAGCAATTAAGCTCTTCGGACGGACCTCTGACTTCGGCACTCACGGAACCCACACTGAACCCACAAGCATCACCGCGCACCCACCCAGAGCTCCCCGAGACTCCCGAGAATCCCGAGCTCCCCAGGAGCGGTTCCGGCCCGCCGGCAGCCAAAGGGGGCCCCACACTCACATAGAGGGAGCGGACGGCCGCGCCGTAGAAGCGCAGCGCCGTGCTCAGCTCCAGCGCCTCCGAGCGCACATCGTCCCCGGGCTCCAGCGCGGCATCGCCGCGGTCCTCGCCGTGCGGCAGCAGCTCCAGCAGCTCTGCGGGCAGCGCCAGGGCCAGCAGCGCCAGGNGGCCGCGGCCAATGGCTGCGAGGGGCGGGCGGAACAGCGGCCCCGGGACCCCCGCGGCCGCTCCCACAGCCCGGGCGGGATCGGCAGAGAGGTCGCTCCCGACCCTCGGGAGCGCTCGGGGGGAAAGCTCAGCCGCTTGCGGGATCAGGGTCGCTTGTGGGGCGCGGAAGTCGGGAAGCGAAGTCGGTGCGGGGTCGTAGGCGTCCGGCAGATGCTTTCAAAGCACCACTGCCCTCCGCCAGGGCCAGTGGGGTCCTTGCCTTGGTTTGGGAAATGTGTGCTCAAAGTGATTCCAGCAGCTGCAGTGCTTCCCAACAGCCAGCGCAGAGAGAACAAATACCAAAATCAACATGAAACAAAAATATGAATCTCCATGCTGTCTTCTGAAATAATTTTGATACCAGGTGCTCATGGTCGGGGGAAATTAATACGTTGGAATGCGTTTCATAAATGAACATCATCCATGTCAGAATTGCATTTGGTTGTAAAATAAAACGAAAATATATATAAAATAAATCTGCAAACAAAAAATTACTGATGATATGACATACAGAGAAAAAAATATAGTATATATAAATATATTGCTTCTGACTATGTCTTTTTGTTTTATAGCATAGTCCTGCTCCCCTGGAACACTCAGAAGCAACTGGAGAATGAGAGAATGATTGTATTTCATATATTTTTTCCTAAAACTTCCAAGTGAGGACAGCAGTGTTTAAGGATTAAATCTTGGCCAGTAAAGTATATGCTGTTATACATCCACAGAAGGTTTACAGCAGATAATCACTTGGCAAATTGCAAGAGCACAAGACATTCCCGGAATGGTGAAACACATCTAATCACCACTATCACTACCAACTACTTACTATTGGGTTCTGTATGTCAGTGAAAACAGTCACTGAGACAAAGTAGAGTGAAGGTCTGGGAGGAAGAGGAGTCTGCTCTCCTTGAGTTCTCGCTGTACTTTCACCTGCAACTTCCCTCCGTATTTTCAGAGCGTCTAAGACAGTAACTGGTGGATGCAAGAAATCTGTGGCTTTATATAAATCCAGGAATATGTGGCTAACCATTGCAGCAAGAGCAGCCTTTTGGCTGGTTCACCACCATATCTGAGCCCACAAAGATGATTCCATCTCCAGCCAAGGTACCCTTCTCCTCATTTGGCAAATCAATACTTAACCAGAAGCCAACTGTAACTTCTTACCCACATTAAATGTGTGCACTGGCATACCATCAGCTGCCTTCACCACAAAATCATCTTCCTATTACAAACCTGCCTCCCCCCAGCAAAAACCCATTTCCAAATTTGCAGAACCTAAAGATTCTGTGCTTGTGCAAAACTCCATAGCAAGTTAACCACCATGGTAACACCAGAACCTTATGCACACATTCACAAGAGCATCACTTCTGTTAGGCTTAATGTTTTCCCCAGTCACATGTACTAATACAGTAAGAAAGGAAGACATAAGAAAAACAAGAAGAAAACTCTGAGGGGCTAACATTTTCCTGTCAGATTCATATGATTTCCTAGTATTACATCCAGAATTTGAAGGACAAGGACCACTGGGAAGCTAAAAATTTAGTGTCGTAAATTTGAAATAGATTTGAAGGCTCAAGAGTTAAATATCTTCCTCTGCATGTTTAAAACATGGGGTAATAGCCATGTTAGGGTAAACCCTTTGTCCATTAGTCAGAATATTGAGATTGTTTAGTCTGTACTTAACCTTAAGAGGATTGCATTGTTTCTCTTTTAGTTACAAGTTTACCTTCTGTACAGCTCCTGCTATGAGGAGAATTAAGGATTGTTAGTTGTAAGACAAGAAAATAAGTTCCCTGTTGTCCTCTCTAGCATCTTCAGTAAGGACCTAAAAAGGGTGTGGAAAAGCATGTTTACTTATGTTGTAATAGGGAGATATTAATTCTGTTGAACCAGAACGGAAAATGCAAAAGACTTCAGCAAGATTTAAGAAGGTATTTAAGTGCAAACTGGAATGTCACAATTGAGAAATACCTTCCAGAAGGTCTTTCATAGCTGGTAAATACCAAGAACTCCACATTTTCATTGGATAATAAATCAGATATGGCAGCAGTTTAGAGAGCAACAGTATTCCCTGAGCAGCCACTGAGAACCTGTACAACAAATGAGCTGGGTTTATTTTGTTACAAGAAAGAGAAATTTTCTAAAGGTATATAATGACACTGCTTTTCCAGAGATGCCTTGTGAGATCAGAGGTGTCACAGAAAATGCACCACTGGAGAGAATTCAGACTGAAACAAAACAAAACAAAACAAAAAAATATCAGGGGAGAAAAGGAAATTATATACAATAAATTGCTAAAGAACTGAACATGTGTACTTGATTAAATGATAATGAGGAGATTTGATTAAGATCATGCTTCAAAGATATGGAGCACTTTCAACTCAAATATCTGAAGAATGGTCCTAAACAGATGGAGGAATTAAACGGGTGAGTTTGAGGATTACAGGTAACTAGGACATTGAAATAACTAAAATAAATAACTAAAGAAACCATGTATCAGCAAATGCTTTCTTGCCATGGGGTCTACTTTTGTATAAATCATAGATAAGGCAAATTGGAAGCAGAATGATAGAAATATTTGAGAAGATTTCTACAACACTAGGTTGATCAGATCACTAAATAATAGACTTTAAGAAATAATTTGGCATTTAACAATGATTTGAGACAGTCCAACAGATTTGACTTGAGTTTCTATGTTCATACAATGCTAAAATAGCTCACAGATATACACACACATATATTTGAGGATTTCACTGCCTAAATGTGAGGAGATTTAGAAAAGGGGGTGCAGATGTGGAAAAGCCTGATGTTCTCAAACCCCTCCCCAGGTTTCATTAACAAAGGAAACAGAGCTAGTGTTCCCTTTGCTGGCATGACAGGAGTAAGGAAAGTAATGCCCTGGGCCTCCCATGATGATGTTCTGCTCTCCAGTGACAACAAAGCATTTTAGCAGATGGATCAAAGGACAGAGTAATCATGTGGTAATAAACTGGAGAAAACTGAGTATTTGGGATACTGGCAGGAAAGAATAGTGCTGAGGTCTGCTGAGAAGGAACATTTTTTAGAGAGACAAGGTCATGGGAATCAGAGAGTCACAAGCAAAGGCAAGGCTCACAGGAAGATCATGGAGTGCACATCATAAATTTAAATTACTCCATCTTAGAACTTAATGTTCATTGTTCACTAGAGTGGAACATGATGAGATTCCTTCTGTAACTCTACATGAGCCAGTGTCACCAGGGAGGGTACATAACTCTGGAGCATCTTCAAAAAAAGGTGTATTTTGCAGCAGAACTCTACCAAAAGAAAGTAATTCTGAGGGACTCTTAGATGCTTTTGAGAAGAGTTTCACATCAATGGCGATAGTCTATCTTGGCCTCTGCATTAGAGCAGAGTATAGAAGATTGTAGAATCCCTTCTTTTTCTCTCACACAGAGCTATTGCAGGGCAACAAAAAGGCAGCAATATTGCAGGACAATCTCATTGGAAACTCATATCCTGTTCTGGAGAACAGCTGGGCAAGAAGGGGGATGTGTTAACACTTGGCCAGTGACCTGGTCCATACAGGAGAGATATGCTGCTGTGATATAATGGTACACAAGCAGCAGCAGATTCCTGCCCTGGAGCAGGGCAATGAGCATGGGAGAAACAAGTTCTTAGAGCCTTCCTAGGTCTGGTGCTGGGAGACATTTTGTATTTCTGGGGTTGTCTTAATTTCTATCTCTCATTATTAGAGCTGGTAACAATATTAATAGGGGACAGGAAAAAAACCTCAAAGAGGAAGATATACTTGTATAGAATCATGAACAATTTCTTTCATGCCAATTTAAAATTTAGGAAAAAATAAGATGGAAAATGGAACAGAAAAGTATCAGCGCTGTAAAATGGCTAGACAAAAAAAAAGTAGTCTTACAATCTTCCCATCTGATATGTAACAATATGAAAAATACTACTTTTTTTAAAAATACGTATATTTTCAAAATATCCCTCTTACATCCTAATGTTTGATCTCTTTCAAAAACAGATTCTCTAATCCAGTAAGAATTCTAGAACTTCTCTGTAGTAAGAGAGAGTTGTAACCGGGCCAGAGGATATATAATTAGTCTTCTATTTAAATATTCAGCTCAGCACTAACTACTACATCTACTCCAAGTCTTACTGTTTTGTTATTATCTAAAAGTTTTTGCTTTGTGCCAAAGAAGTCTCCAAACAGACAATAAAAATTAATACAGATTTTTAAAAAGCACAGTGAAGACAGGAAGACAAAATGTATGATCATTTTCTCACACACACAAAAACCAGTTACAATATGAAGGAACATTGTTTTTTAAACAATGGGAATGGGATGCGGAAAACCAATTTGAATGGCACAGGAAGACAGCTATGGAAAAGGTATCATTTACTACCTATCTTCTCCAAGACTAAAGAAATAATTACTCTGACCCACTCATAATTGTGTCAGATTTCAGACATAATGTTTAAAATGTTGGACATAATGCATGCAGCTGGCTGTAACACTCCAAATATTTTAATGCTGAAAGAAGATTTTTTTCCTCTTTTTTTAAACTGTGCAAAAACTGTGACCTTTACCCTGCCTTGAAACAGTTCAGATTCAAAAAGACCCAGGAGTAATTCCATGAATTACAGCTATTTATTCTTTCTGACCCAAGGACTTATATTGCTGTTCACTTAACTTGGAATCTGCAGACAACAATACAAGCAATGGCCCACTCCCTTACTCCCAAACAGAGTTTAGTGTTTTGCTCTGTAAACTATAGTTTTGTCACAGAGTAGCAATAAAACATGGGGATCAGCACTAAAGTGGCTCAGCACAGAAACAATTACATTGCCCCTGGGAAAAAAAGAGGCATGATTTGCAAACCCTAGGATTGATGCAATAACTTATTCATTGGAGAAGTGACAGGATGAGAGCAGGAAATGTCTATTCCACAAGAGGGTACAAGAGTCCAAAATACTAACCCCAGAGCCCACTGGAGTGTCCACCCTGCAAAGCATTTAGCCCTCAATCTCTTGCTGTAGCTCTAAAACACATATTTTTTCATTCTTCCCTCTCTTTCCCACTCCTGTTCCGTGTGTCTGAAATAAAATGAACCATTACGGAGACCAGCAGTGGTTTAGTTAAAGCACAGAACTAAGGGTGTGTCACATACCAAAGCCTGGGACATGAGGGTATGTGCAGGTATTTGAAGTCGCAAAGCCTTTAAGCTAGCTCTGGAAGATGAGAAAGGGCAAGAACAAAGTCTGGTCATGGCTTTCGTCTGCTTTTTGAGTGTGGTCCTTGGAGCAAGCTGCTGCCAGACCACTCTGTGTTTTGTCATGGAAAGAGCCTTTTGGAGTAGGCAGGAGATCAGCTAACACTTGGGCAGCTCGGATATTCAGGGATTCAGTGCATGAGGCAGACCCTTGGCTCTCTCTCACTTAGGAATAGACACACACCTGTGTACCTGCAGTCAGAGGCAGGTTTCTAAGCTTATCAGGGGGGGAGACAGCAAGACAATAGTCTTAAGCTTAAAAAGCTACACTAGCAAATGAAAGCTTACCAAAGCCTTTTCAGGTAATTACTGGCTCTTGCTCTACCATCACTATTGGACCTCTAAGTAAATGACCTCACTTGTCCTGTCTTCTCTCCCTTGAGCTCTCTGAACTCACTGTTAACATCTTCCTCCTTAACCTTTTCCCCATGAGGGCCTTTAGCATTGTACTGGTTATCTGCATCCTAGTTTCCTTCTTTATCTTTTTTCAGACTAGTCTTTTTATTAACCTTTTGGGATCTTAGGGCTGACCCCCTTTATGGCTCATTGACCAGTTCTCATTCCTTGAGTTCTTTCTCAGAGAAACTCATGCCTGTTTCCCTTTAATTGTAAATCTTTTATGATTTCCTCAAACTTCATACATGAAAAACATTTGAATGTTTTCCAGCAGCAAAGATCTTTCAAAGTTACACAGTTGCAAAGTTTTCCCAGCATGGGTAATTTGTATTTATAAGTAGCAGCCGCTAAACTTCAGGAAAAAACTTAGGAAAGAAAAGGTATCTGAAACAAAACTATGTCTGGGCCTTAATTCTCTATTTTTCCTTTAAATATATCATTGTTATTTATTGATTTTATGTATTTAGCGTATTTGTCCTTTAAAATGCTCATCCTATCCAGCAACACATCTTTAGAGTAATTTAATACAATATGAAAATGCCATTTAGACACCCTTATTCAACCCGTGTCACAGCTTGTATAGTCTCAAAAATATTGGAGATTGAATTGTTGAAAACAAATAATTTAGGGGGTGGGGCAAGTGTCATACATTGGACCCAAATTTTAACAAAATTACTGATTTTTTGGGGGTTTTTTTTGTTTTGTTTTGTTTTTTTTTTTGTGGACCTTAACCTTTTCTTCATCTGAGGAGGAAGACTAGCTTCTGAAGAGTGAGACACAGCATCTGAACAAACAAGGGCATTTTATTCTTTCTGAGGGAACTCTGCTGTCCTTTGCTTCTTCCATTTAGTAAATAAAATTCAGTTATTTAAGTACTCATAACAGGACTTTATCTTATCCAAAATGTAAATTTTTTTGTGGCTTATTCCCTCCAACAGTGCTAAAACATAAAGCAAATTTTCACAGAGCAATCGCTGCACAATAGTCTCAAAAAATCATGATGCAATAGTTTCAGCAGCACTTTCCATTTGTCAGATTTCCACTCTTTGAAATTTCAAAACCTTTTCTGATCATTTAAGAAACATTTATTGTTACTCCACTTCACAAAGAGAAAAATTAAAGGTACCAAAGAAATACAGTTTGTCCACCTGGCAAATCAGAAGACACATAGGAAACTCAGTTAAGCTTTCCTAGCAACCAGAAGCAGCCTTCTGAAGTGGAGCAGATCATGTTTCTTCCTAAGAAAATTCAATTTCAGCTAATTACCCTCTCTATGGGTATGCAGAATGTGAAGCTGTATAGTTATTCCTAAAGCTCACAAGTCTCAGGAGAAGTACACCAACTTGAGATCCTCTGTGGGCTACCACATGGCAAAAATTAATGAAAAAAAATCCCAAAGAAAAATTAGGAGTAAAGTTTTTTAGTGTGAGTATGTAACAAAGGATTCTGTTGCTGGCTGCCAAATTTAGCCCCATTGGGGAGGATATGACTGACAAATTACAGCTTAGTAAGCAGGGAAAGATGCAAACACTTATGCAACAATTTTCATACTGTGTGGTGGAGGAATTATCTGCAAGCTGTTTCTGTTCTCTGTAAATTGTGCCATTACTTTGAAAACAGGATGTATGCTTCAGAGTAAAGTAAAACAAACAAATTGACTTAATACAGCAGCATAAAACCACCCCTGCCAATGCAGTATTGTTCAAACAACCCTCTTATTTAAGGACAGTAAAATACAAAGGTGGGATAATTAGAGAGGAAATTCTGCTTGGTATGACTCTTGCCTGGAATCAAACCTTACCTTTAAAGTTTCCAGAGCATCTTGTCCATTTTACATGGCAAACTATGATCAAGACAAACTTAGTTTTCTTGCTTGCTGATGCTTCTTTCCAGATATTCATCAGCATGCCCTGCATGTTTCATGCATCTAAGTGTTCTCCAAAACCTGGGAACATTTCTGTCTGAGTATTTGCAACTTTGGGGCTTATATTCAGCAGCATTCATGTTACACGTACAGAAGAACTTACAAGTACATTATCCTTATTATTTCCCTGACACTAATGGTAATATTTTTTCTAGTTTCTAAGATCTCTGAACATTCCCTACAGTGTACTATAGTTTTCAGACTGACTTAAACAGAAATTCCCCCCAGACTGCTCAGCCTTGTCTGAGGTCAGGACATTTGTCATTTCTGAATAGCCTATCTTCTCTGAACATGCTTTTCCCCTCTTGGTACCAGACATAAATATTTATTGCATGTGCTGCTTCAGTGGAGTAACAACTCAGTTACTGTCCCAGTACTTGAACCAGCTGCTCTCAGCTGCTCCTGCTGTGGCAGAGCCAGATCCAGGACTAAGAAGAAGCCTGTTGGACTTCCACGGGCCTCAGTAATCTCACTCCATACTTTCAGAATGTCTTTTTTAAATTAAGAAGGAGTAACCAGAGAGAAGAAAACCTAGATTTCAGAAAGGAGTCCGATGAGAGAAGCATGGTGGGAAAGTGAAAGAGAATTTGAATCCTTTCAGTCAGTGGATACAAATATCATGACCAATTTGTTTGTGCAAATTGCCCTGATGATTTCAAGAAGGGGGCTGGTAAAGAAGAAGAGCACAGCTTGGGCTATCCAGTCCTGCAGGCAAAGAAACAAGAGGTGGACTGCTGCATAACCATGTGTGCACTCCCAGTCACACTGAATGAAAGCCAGGGTCTGCTGATCCTGCTGGTCTTGGCACCCTGGAGGATAAAATGGATCTCCTCTTTGATCAAAGATCTCTCTTACCTCCAGCAGTGCTCAGCTGAGTGAATTCTCTAAATGAGCATCTGCTGGTTTTAAATAAAAGACAAATGCTGCCACTCAGTAATAAGGAAGGATGATTGAAGAAATGAAACAAATAGGTATGCCTGTCTCGCTAAGCACAAGAAGGGCACTGGTACTGGTGCAAGGAGCAAAAACTGGGTGAAGTTAGTTCCAACCAAAAAGAGAACAGCACACAAGAGATACTAAGAGGATTAAACACTGTGTTTAGAAGTTATCCCTTGTTAAGCTTGACTCCGGATTCCTATGTCTAGTAGTTTATTTCTGTCTTCAGATTCTATTCAGTGAGTGTTAAAGACTTCTTGGGGTTGCAGGCTTTCACTTTGGGACAGTTGGCAAACTGCAGCTATAGCAAAGCAGAAGTTGAGGGCTCCAGCAGCTTTTTCCCTGGCAGAGGTCTCTTACCTGTGAAGCCAACCAGTAAAGATTCAAGAATATGCTATTCCACATGAATGGCATACAGATCAGGATGCTTTTATTACTGCACACTTTGCAACCTCTAAAGGGTGACTTTTCAAAGCTGGCATCAGGATTGCTTGTGAACAGCCAAGAATCTACAATATCACAGGGGAAGCGAAAGCTCACCACAAAGGATGCGCTATGCAGCCAAAGCCTGGAGGAAACTGTGTGGAAATCTCATTGAGGCCTTCAACACCTTCATGAGGGAAAGTAGAGGGGCAGGGACCAATCTCTTCACCCTGGTGGTCAGTGACAGCACCCAAGGAAACAGGATGAAGCTGAGTCAGGGTGGGTTTAGGTTACATATCAGGGAAAACTTTTTCACCCAGAGGGTGTTTTGGGCACAGAACAGTCTCCCCAGGGAAGTGGTCACAGCACCAAGAAGCATTTGGACTCAGCTCTCAGGCACACAATGTGATTATTGGGATTTCCTGTGCAGGGCCAGGCGTTGGACTTGATGATCCTGATGGGTCCCTTTCAAGTCAGCAAGTCCTATGACTCTATGCTAAAGGATTTAAACCTCTTTTGTGCAGCTCCACTAAGGTATTTCAGAATAGAAACAGGCAAACTTAACCCCCTGCCATGACGGACTGAGTGCAGTGGCTGTGTCTGCCAGTGTGTCAAGACTTAGACTTTGAAAGTGAGACAAACCACAGACTCCTACCACTCAGCTTTTTGGAGCACTTTGCTGCAGGCTCCTTCTAAAAGGAAGCTGTTCCCCTCACGCTCCCAGCCTCCTGAGGCTGGAGAAGGTGCTCACTATCAATCTTTATTAACCATTTCACAGATTTTCGAGTCTGTGGCCGGTGGGAGCTCGCACAGGCCGTGCTGGGAGGGGAGCCACAGGACCCCACGCTGGCACACAGCACTCCTAGCACAATGTTGCCCTCGGGTTTGTTTTGGCTCTTTTCCATCGTGCTCGGGTGCAGAACAGTAACATCAGCACCCTCCGCTGGTCCCTGCCATGAAGACACCCGCAGGGAAGGGGCTGATAGGAACTGCTGCTAGACCTGTTAAGCTGAATCTAGAGAAAGACATCTTTTTACCAGGCGTATTAATAAGTCATGCCCTCTGTAAGCGGCCCCAGCTGCCTCCAGTCACTACACAAACACGCGACGTAAAAGGAAGGGCAGGGTCTTTAAAGCTTATGCACAGAAAGAGCTCTTAATTTTAGTGTTAATTACAAGATTCATAAACAATGTTATAATATATGAAAATATATATTCCCCAGACTAATCTTAATTGGAACTTTAGTTAAATTACCAATCTTATTTTGGAGGTGGTAATTAAAAGTTAAACTCATTAAAGTTTATTTGTTTTATTTAAATTATTATGAATTATTGCCCTGTATTTACCTCCAAGATTTCTGGATACAGGATATGTGCAAAATTCAATAAAACAAAAAAAGGCACAGCCTAAGTCAGTGCACCTGAGGAAGCCCTGGTATCTGTGTGCATGGTACTTTGCAAAAAATGTCTTTTAGAAGAACTGACTGATGAAGTACATTCAACATATTTTAATGTGTTTTCTTTTTCTTCGAATATCACCTGTAGTGATCACCTTAGTGATTTAAAAACTTCTGTGTAGTTACAGAAACTCTTTACTTATATTGAGCTGTCCGATAATAAAACCATATTTTCCATGTTGAAAATAATGGTCTACCTAAATCAGTTCATAATCCGGGGACACAATTATTTGGGGGGGTTGGAGGGATATTTTTCTTTCTGTTTAGTATATGTGCATTCATGCAGAGTAGCAGTGATTCCAAGAGCTGGCTGATTGGGATATTTGATCCTGATTACTTTTACCAATTGTGTAACCAAAACTATCTACACTGAAATTGGGAAAGGTAATTAATATTTCCTTACTGTAACTACATGGATTTGGATATTTATATGGAATTTGAATGGATATACAGCATTTGAAATACCCTCTCCAAGTACATGGGAGTAGCTAGAAACTGCATATGTCTGCAGTGACTAGAGTAATTCCTAGCACAAATTCCTGGACACCCTAACCATGTTTAAGAATTCTCATTGGATTTGATCTTCAGCCAGTATATCACAGAAACGTGAGTGAGATCAGTATATAAAGTGACTTCAGCAAAGAAAAGAGTAACTTTTCCAAGAGAGAAATATGTTCCTAAGCAGGGGGGATAAAAATCAACGTTTTGTGTCTGCCCAAAAAGACAAGTGGTGGCACTGTTAGTAAAGTTACTTACTCCAATTCTGGTAATGCTCAAATTTCTAACAGTTTGTCAGCATGTGGGTTCCTAGGAGTTTCAAAATGCACTGATTTAGTATTAGCAAGGCAATTTTTTAAAAAATCCTTATAAAACTGCTTTAATGTAAAAAATGTTAAAAACTAAGTTGACACTAAAAGCAAAGAATATATAATGGAAGCTAACACAGTCTGCTAAGTTTATATGAGTGAAATCCCCCTGAAAGGATAGAATTTGTTACTACTGAGTGTTCAGGATTTTCAACTGCTTCACATATATAGCCACCTATCTCAAAATTTGATAGAAACATTTATATCTCCTCAGTAATCACAGTGTTCTTTGGTGAATTTAAAATGGCTGCTAATTTTCCAGGGTCTCTTCTCTCTTTCTCTTGCAGGAGAAAGCAGAAATATATCTCAAAATTTTCCTTCTAACATTAATATCTCATTCCTTCTAACATTAAATTATTTTTTGATATACTGCTATAAGGCTTTCATAAAGAGGATACCTGTGCAAAATAACTAGCTTCATGTTTCTTTTTTTTTTTTTAAATAGAAATCACTTTCTTTTTACAAAGTTCTGTAAACTAAAAACTAAACAAATAAAAATAATTTCGATTTGGTCTGTTTTCTGAAAAGACTACTTGGAAGATTGATTTTTTTTGTTACTCACTTATAGAGCACTATGGGGGAAACCGACCATGCATCCTCCCTTCTGTCTTCTGACTACCAAATCACACTCTTTTTTTAATGCAAACATTCTCTGACATTACTATTTTGCTTCCCTTAACTAAAAATTATTGATAAAAATAATAAAATAAGTAGGCTGTTAGAACAGATTTGATAAATTGTAACCAAATTATAATCAAAGCTGCCTGCTGATATAAAGAAGCACAGCCTACCTTTGAAGATACTGTCCTGGAAATAAACTCCTCTCTTCCTTCTTTCCTTTCTTCCTCCCTTCCTTCCTTTGGACACACAGCAATGTGCAATAAATGGCCAAGTGTCACATGCCTTGTAGGGCTACAGTTTTATACTTGTGGTTCTTAAAAACCCCAGCACTTAGCAGGATATATGCTGGGGCAAGCAGTCCCGAGAAGAACTGCCAATTACTTAAAATCACTTTTGATTTTAGCTGTCATCGATGTTGTTGGCTGAGGCCTCTTTAGTACATCTCTTGAATGTAAACCTATAAATCAGGTTATGCAAATCTGAAGATATTTCATACCAATTAATAAGATTCAAATTCAGGTGCTTCTTTCATCAAGGTAGTTTGAAATTCTGTATATTTTTTTCTATTCATTAAAGTGTCTGTACCACCTTTCCCTGCTGAGATTGTCATTACTTCTTAAAAAATATGGGGGAAAAAAATGTGAAAACCAGCCCAAAACCCAGGAGTTTCTGATGAAACATTCTCTGCAATGACATAGTTAAGATGAAGCAAATACAGCTGCACACAGGAACACACCTCTCAAAACATTTTAATAGCAAAAATGATTGAAGTAATTTTACTGCAATGTTGTCCATTCTATAAAAGGATTGGAAACCTGCCATTTTATTATACTGGATTTTTCTCCAGAATAAACTACAGTCAGCACAGCTGGAGGTGATAGAAGTATGTCCAGGCTAAATACTTACTCTCTGCGCTCCATCCCAGCTGTTAAATCTTTCTATTCCTTTTCCTTTCACAGCATGTACCACTGGACAGTTTCTAACCTCTCCTCTCTGCAGAGTTTCTCAGCTCTCCCTGTACTTAGAAAGAGCTGATATGAGTCAATGCAAACCCGATTTTACCAAACCTCAGTTCACATATATGTTAAACCTTACAACCAACCATATCCCTTTTTAACAACTCTGATTCCTCCTAAAACATTTGTTGTGTTACCATTTTGTCCTCCTAAGTAAGGATCCGGGAGGAAAAACTTTCACTAAAGGTTAAACTACAAAGCACTTACAATGGTGTCCAAAGAAACTTGCAGCAACAACCTTAATTCCATCATGTCCTAACATTTGAATAGTTAATATCTTGTTACTTCATGCATTATAAATGATGACCTAATTATAATTCAAAATATATTTAGCAATATATTAAGGATTATATTAAGATAGTGATATAATGTGGTTTTATTTTATAATTATGATTTATTATAAATTTATTTTAAAATATCATTATTAAGAAATTATAATTGTAGTTACACTGGTTTTGGCTGGGATAGAGTAAATTTTCTTCTTAGCTGATACAGTGCTGTGTTTTGGATTTAGTATAATGCTGATTAGTTGCTCACTGGGGTTAAGCTACAGTAGTGGCTAAGATGCTTATTTAATATAATACACTTACATAGACACGGTTTTATGAAAAGAAATGAAAAAGACAGAGTTTTTGCTATCCACATGATGGTATCATCAAACAACTGGCTTGTGAGAATTTTGCAAAAATCCTCCAAAGGTTACAAAATGCCACTTACTGTCTCCAAGCAGATTTTCTCTTTAATGTTGTTCCTGTTAAAAACATCTGCAGCTCTGTTTCTTCAAACGTTCTCTTTTTTCTCCTTTTTTTTTTTTTTTTTTTTTTGTGGGTTTGTTGTTGTTGTTGTTGTTGTTTTGGTTTGCTTTCTTTTCATTATTTTCTTTTTTTTTACCCTTTCACCCTCTGCTCTGCTCCACTCACTAAGGCAATTTTTTCATCTGGGCCATTTGAAATCTAATGCACTTAAAGTTCTGCACGATAAAACAAACATAAACAGCTGGCCATGATTATTGCATTAATGAAAAGTTCATCTTTTATTTTACTGTGTTTGAAACAAATACAGTTCCTTGGCACTTTTTCCCCAATAAAACAAATATTTTGTGAGCCAGCTACTATTATTTTTCCCATAAATGTATTTTAATGACGTTGAGGAGGAGGAGATAAAATTCAACAATTTCTGCCGCTGAGGCACTGTTCACAAACAAGCGGAACCCTGCGGAATAGATCAGGACAATGCTGGTTACTGCTTTGCAGCAGGGGTAAATACGGAAAAGCTGCTGGTCGGGACAAGAAATGCAGCTGGCTGGGGGACATGAACCTGTGTGACAACCTCTGCTTCTCTTCCAGGGAGGCTTTATGGAGAAAACAGGCTGGCACTGCGGAAAAGCAGATGCCCTCAACACACACAGAGCTGGAGGGCAAAGCAAGCAGCTGCACTCGCTCTGCCCACCTCAGGTGGCCAGAAGAAGCGAAAGGAAAATAAAGAAAGGAAAGAAAAAAAATCCCAAACAAGCCAAACAAAAACCCAAACCAAAAAACCCCGCCCTAACGAAGCCGGAACTCAAGCCCATCAACAAGCAGCCATTCGGAGCCATTCCCGTTTCTCCTTTCCCACGAGGGGTCGCGGTGGCGCCGGAGGGAGAGCCCGGCCGCGCCGGCCGTGAGGGAAGGGTGGAGCAGGCCCCGCCGCTCCCGCATTCCCTGGGCTGCTCCTGGGGCCGGGGCTGCCCTCGTGCCGCCACTTCGGGGTGGCTCCCAGGGTGGAGAGCTCTGAGCCAGCCCTCCCTGTCCCTTCCTGTTGGCAGACGGGGACAGAGGGACGGTGGCCTGGGGCAAGCGACTCCTCCGTAGCGTCCTCACCTCCTCTCCGCTGAGGACAGGCCCCTCGGAGCGGGTGAGGGCGCAGCATGATCTGCCTGCTGGCAGATAAGGTGCCAGCCCTGTCCC